TCACAACATGAGCATTTTAAAAAAAAATCTTGATATAATAAAAGGAATTCAAAGAGTCTTCCATTATAAAGTACTATGTTTTAGTTAGAGGTCAGATACTTAAATTACACTGCATGCATGCAAAAATTATTGATAAATCTGGGAAAATTTTCCAGCACTAATATGCAGTGTCCATCCAATACAAGAATGCACTCTTTGTTGCTAAACTGAAAAAAAATTCTTGGAGTATAGCTTTTAAAAGTAGCTGTTCTAAGTAGCCTCATGTGAGACTCAGATATGCCCTGTAATCCATGTTACATCAGAAAAAAATGTTTGCCAGGTTTGAAATTCTTTTAATTCCTAAATTTAAAGGGGTGGGGGGGAATCTTTTTCTGAATGAAGTACTTCACCCATAAAAGACTGTAGACCATAACTGATCTCACCTCCAGTGCCACCCATTTAGCTCACCTTTTTCCCCATCTCCAAAGGTTTGTTGGGATCATTACAAGCATCTGGAACAACCAGTAGCTGCTGTGTGCAAGTCTTGTTAATGCAATTCAATGGTTAGATAGAAAATTGGTGCAGGAAATGTGGCAAAAATAAGTTTGATACCACAGGGTTTGTTTTTTCCTGCTAGCTGGTAGAGACAGGCAAAAGTGCTGTTGCCAAACTGTGCAGCTATTCAGTTTGTTTTTCAGCATGAGAGACAAATCTGTGTACGTAAGCCTGGTTGTTGTTTTTTTTTTAAAGTGCTGAGTACCCACAGCTCCAATTGCTGTCAATGTGGGTTGCAGCTACTCAGCACCTCTAAAAATCAGGCCATTAAAATGCATCACATAATCCTTTGTTTTATTTTAACTTTACAAATGTTTAGCATCATCATGGCAAAATAAACCCAGCCTCTTACATGGACATTTTATGCTGTATTTTTTACTGAGTACTGGAAATGCCATTCAATTAAGTTCTTCCCACTTACCATCAAGATCTAGTGTGGCAAGCTGAGAAAGGAAGCATCATTCAGGCAGAAATAATGGTAGTTTTGTGCACCTCCTATGCTAGAGAGAGTTCTAATGGGCCAGATCCCTGGCTGGTGTAAATTGGAATAGCTCTGTCAAAGTCGGATAAAGCTATGGCAGTTTACACTAGCTGAAGATCTGGACTTACAGATCTGCCTCATCCTTCATTCATAACTCAGGTATTTATAGAAAGCATGACTCTGAAATAAATGAACACTAAAATCTGAGTTGTGGTTTTGATCGAAATCTGGATTTTATTGTGTCCTGGCTGATATGGGGCTGAAAAGACTAACAATGCAGCAGATATCAGACTGCAGTTCAATTTTTAAGAAATTGTCTCTTAATTAGAAGTGCTGCACCTATGACCTTTAGGTTTTATTGTTGCATATGAGCTTTAAGAAAGAATTGCTTTAGCAAAAGCAGACTAAGGACAGCTAAGAAGTAGGCAGCATGCTTCATATGCATGTTTATTTGGGGGCCCATAAACTAATATTGGAAAAGAGATTCCATGAAGAGGGGGCCTCATTAGCTTTCAGCATGACAGGTGAGGTGCAAAGCAAAAAAACCAAAACAAACCTGCGTGTGCTCTTTATTGCTTCTTTATGATGTATAAAGATTACCTAATTTGTTGTTCTTCTTTGGTTATATTGTAACTATCTAGTCTTGACATATATTTTCTCTTCTGGAGAATTCTGTCAGTCTTTGGAAGACTTCACTTGGAATGTGACTTCACATCTGGAGGTTTAAACCTGAGCTCTGGTTCTATGGACCCTGCCCACTTGAAAGGAGAACGGAGAAAAAGTTGAAAAAGCTGCCGCTCAGGTTTCAAACACTTACTTCTGAGGTCATGGATCTGGTCTTCCAAAGCCTGCCCTTTAGGAAAAGCCAAGCCAAAACCAGAACTTTCTAATGTAAAAAGAAGTAGGAAAAAACTCCATCTCTTTGGAGCGTTCTTTATGTATAAGTGAGCAGTATAAAAATAAAATTAGTTTTGTATTTTATTTCCTGTGCAGTTCACCTTTAAATTATTCCTATGATTCCCTCTCCTGTGTGACTCAGTGCCTGCAGCTCTAGACTACTGCATCCATGAGGAGTCTGAATCTGAAATGTAATGTCCCCAACTCATATTTTTATTATTCTGTAACTCCCACCGGAGTACAAGAACAGAGCTATAAAATATAACTCTGTTAATATTAAAGTGGTGATGTTAGTAGTAATAATTTAAAAAATTCCAGGCATTTTTATATGTTATTTTAAGATCAAAATACCTCACTGGAAAAACATTTAAAATGTCTTGAGCTTGCCCAATGCAAAAAAAAGGTGAAGAGGAACAATAACGTTACCGTGGCTCTCAGATCGGAATTCTTGTTTTGGAATGTAACCGGTTCTAGTTACTCATCTGCTGTGTTCTTATATTTTGGGGCACTTACACTCACGTTGAAAACTATGGGTCCTGTCCTGCAAACATTTAGGTATGAGATACTTTATTCATGTGAAACTAATGGGCCTCCTTTTGGGAGTGATTTGCAGGATCAGGCCCTAAATCTGTATTCATGAATTACTGGTCTTATGTTTCAACGATGAAGTCAAGAGATAACGGCAGCTTGCGTAAACAGAACTGGGCTGTCCATGGAACTTAGCTCAAACAATGGATTGCTCTTAGATGGCTGTACAGAATGGGATTCATAAGTGAATATTGATCTATAGCAGCTGGACCATGAGTAAGAGGTAGGGGAAGGGACAATCTTACATTACTGTTATAGCCTGGCAGATTTTTGTATGGGTGACTTCATTTTTATATTGTTTTTTTTTTTCAGTGTAAAAATGTAGCAATAATTGTTCCTTAATCAAATTTAATGCAAATATGTGTGTATAATAAGTAATATAGCTCTCATGTAGAAAAACAACTGAACCGGCCTCTAGGGATTTCATTGCATATAAATAAAATTCCTGAAGACATACATGCTTGCTTACCATAATTAGCAGAAAGTTGAAGAATCTTGGGAGCATTGCATATGGCTGTTTTCTTTGATTTAGTTCGCTTATCTGTTTCTAATTATGGTATTTTGCATTAAATGCTACTGTTTTGGCTCTTGGCATGCACATCATGCCCAATGAGTTCTCACTGGGTTTCTTAAATCATTTTATGAAACTAAGATAAAATGAATCCAGGAAAGTTTTACAATCAAATGTGCTTGCAAAAGAAATTGCAGAACTGAGTGAAATAAATAATTAGGTGATAGCTATGAGCTGGATGGATAGATGAGGAACAGGTTCATTTCTCTGCAAGAGGAGATCTGAAACCTTCTGGCACAATTTGTTACTTTCCATTTATCATGCGTAAAATGTTTCATGATTTGGTATTTTATGTGGATTTATTGTCAGGAAACTATTGTCTGCCTGGAACAGTTCACAGGATAACCCAATTATGAACTGTTCTAATAGGATTGTTTTGGGAGAGAATGAGTGATCAAACCTGGCAGTATTTTAGGAATGAATCTTAAAATTCAAAACCTCCAAAAATATTCTCAGCTCTGCTCCAAGGGTTAGGTAAAAAGGGTCAGATTAGGAGCACGCTTGGATGCCTGAAGAGCTAGTGCAGTCAGGAGGGTGTAGGTGTACATGGGCAAATTCTGATCCCACTGAAATCAATGACAAAACTCCCATCTACTTTTCTGAGAGCAGCATTTGGTCCAGGGACATGAAACTCTTTTTGGAACAGATGGGAGCATATACAGGTGAGGTGCGCTACATCGGAGCAGAACAGGCAACAATGCACCGGCTGAGAATAGAAACCAGGAGGAGAGTGAACAAGTGAACATAGGATAGGAGGCAAAGGCATATAGAGTGCAGAGTGAGAGAGGGAGGGAGGGATGCTGTGCAAAGGCGAACAGCGAGGAAGGAAAAGGCAGCTGAAATAAACAGATGGGGTAGATAGAGAGGAAAATAATATTGTGACAGAAGGCCTCAGGAAGGAGAATCTAAAAAGAGAGAGAGAGAGATCAGCAAATATGAAGAAAGGGGTCACTCAAGGAAGCGCATCTCTGTAAATGCGGAAGCACTGGGAAGAGCATGGTGGGATCACGTATGCAAAGGATTCCAGCATTGTGGTATTGGTTCTAGTGTGGGGAAGCAAAAAAATCTTTGCTGGCCAACAGGGAAGTAGATTGTTCAGAGGCGAGCAGAAAACATCTGAGCAGGCCTGGGGTGGAGTGGGAAGACTAGCCATATATGTCAAGAGAAGTTCAGAGGTAAGGAAGAGAGTCCTGGATGAGCTACAGCTGTGACAGTCTTGTTATGGGAATAAGGGGATGATCACAGAATTCAAACATGTGCATGGAAAGAAATATTGGTGAGAATAGAAGAGATCAGCTGCCCAAACGTAAACTGGAGCATAGGAATTGGAGGAATAAACTGAGCAGTAAAATTACAGCTATGGTACAAGATTTCTTTCTCAGATAATAAAGAATGAAAATGAGTGGAGATGTCAGACCCGAAGGCATGTTTAGGCCATAATAACCATTATCTCCTTAGTCAAACTAAGAACACCATTCTAAAGAGTCTGGTATTGCAAGCTTTCCAAGTGCCTACCTCCCATGATTTCAATGAGATCTCAAAGCACAGAAGGTTCACGGGATTGGGCCCAACTATTCACAGTATTTAGAAAAGGCAAGGTCCTGCAAAGTGCAGAGTAAATTCCTGGACGTCAAAAGTGAGAACATGAAAAGGAAAAACAAGGAATATGAGTTTTGGCAGTGCAAATTTGGAACAAATACTTGGAGCAGGTAAGATTTAATGGAGGAGGAGAATGAACAAAGAGAGACAGTAAAAATGGAAAGTATGCAAAGATCCAACTGCTAATGTTTTCCCCAAAGTTTAGTGTGTGCTGAATAGTGGTAAATGCAGTAGGAATAAAATCGGAGTGGCTAAAACCATACCGTCCTAGTCTGGTACAACTTACCTCTAAATAGTGTAAAGTATAATGTTCTTTTGGCTTTTCCTCAGGCAAGACAGCAAGCACAAACACGACATCAAATGGCAGAAGACAGCAAAGGAGAATACTCATCCATTCTTCAGAAATTTAACCACGAGCAACGCGAACATTATCACACGCACATACCAAACATCTTCCAGGTGAGATCTCATAGTACTGACTTACAGCAGCCTGTGTTCTTGGTGTGGCTACATCGACTAGATGCATTACAATGCATTGGTAAGCCAGATTAATTCTGTGATACCGGTTCTCTGCTCTGCAGAAGCCACAGCACCGCATTAGCAGACACTGGACATGATACAGCAACCCAGGATCTCTAAAAGAAGTAGTTGCTCTCTTTGGTGGGAGCAACAATTCCTTTGAATCCAAAGAGATGTTATGGAGCTCAGTCTACTAAACTCCCTCTGACCTCTGGGCTAGCTACCAGACTGATTGATAATGTGGGAGGTGGGAGTCTGCTAGATGTTATGGCAGGAAGGGGCATGCCTGATGACATTATTCATAGTCTTGTTTTATTACACTCTACATTCTTGCAGCTGGGGAATGAGAGCATTGCTTGCAATATTGAGGCACGAATCAACTGAGAGTATTGTCATCTATAAAACCTTACGCTCCTTTGTTACCTGTTTTCATACCTAGATTTCAAAGATGTTTAGATTTATACCACGTTCATGTTGGGCAATAGCTTAATGGATGTCAAAGAGGCAAGTGCTTACAGTTTGATTAAGTTGACTAAAAATGTCAGATGATGGCCAAGAAAGACATTGCAGAGAGAAAGTTAAAACTGCAGAGAGAAAGTTAAAACTACTGTGCTCTTTATTCATGGTCATTCAAGCCACTGTCTAGGATAAATTATTCCAAGGCATTTTGTGTTATTAAAAAAAGCAGCATCCCCAGGCCATGTATACCCTTCTTACAAGGCCTTTAGAGACCATAAAACTTTGGATCTGGTAAGCGCTGAATTGAACTTACATCCTTGGCTAAGCATAGTTTGGGTGCCTGTGCATTACCAGTGCTCCAGAAAATTCCCTTGCTTTGCTTTAAGTGTTAAAATAGCATTCAGAGAGCTGTTTTACTTTTAAAAGAATGATACCAGTGTGTTCTTTCCTGCAGTTGTTTCATTTTTCTGTTGATCGTGGTTGGGTCGCAGTTTAACAGGAAAAAAATGAGTTGGGGGGGTGGTTCTCAGCAGTCAGTGTCCTATCAGGTCTTATGATTCAACATGAAACATGCACTTTTGACACCTGGACACACACTGTGCCTCCTATTGTAATCCATCATAACAAGAATATGCAACATCTGGTTTTCCTGTGTCCTAAACCAGAGGTCAATGGAACTGAAGATCCTTGGCGCTCTCTGCAGTGATCAATAGGGTGCCTATATTGAGATGCCCTGATGTAAACATTGTAACGTAATATGGAGATTACTCTGAGGCCGTCCTTTGATTGCCGATATCACTAAACCATACATTACATGAGAATAACTATCTTAATTTGCCTCCGTTTAAAGTCTTATTTAAACAACTGATATAACAGGAGCTGTTTTGTTGCAGAAATTAAAATTAATTGAAACTGTGAAATAACTTTTGATGTTTGATCAAAGTGAAATGTAATGTTTCAGAAAATACAAGAGATGGAGGAAAGGAGGATAGTGAGGATAGGCGAATGCATGAAAACCTATGCAGAAGTGGACCGCCAGGTGATCCCAATAATTGGGAAGTGTCTGGACGGAATAACGAAGGCAGCAGAATCAATTGATCATAAAAATGTAAGTGTTGAATGTGGTATCTTCTTCTTTCTCCTGTGTTCTTTATTATTTATTAGTTGTATAATAAAACCTAGGAGCGCAAGTCGGGAGCTAAAACCCTATTGTGCTAGGCACTGTACAGACACAGAACATAAAGATGGTCCCTGCCCCAAATTGCTTGCTCTGAAAACTGTTAAGAAAGAATTTGAAACACATAACTTGCACCCAAATCCAGTTAGTGCACAGAAAAGGTGTTCCTCTATCACATGTTAAGTAAGGATAGCTTTAGTTCATGTTTTATTTTATGAAGGATAGTTGTTTTGTCTTGTTACAGAGAAAAATCTGTTCTTCTCACGGATGTATTTGTTTAGCAAATTAATCCATAGGGTCATTTGTCTTTTAAGAAGGAAACGTTTCTTTTACCAAATTTACTCCATTAACATGCATTCTATACATAAGCGTTTGGTTTGGCTGTATTTAGATAAGATGCTGTATTCTAAAGATGTGACTGTTAGGGCCTGTATACACTATTACAGTATTGTCGACAAAAGTCAGCTTTCATCAGCAAAGCAGTGGAGGTGTACACACTGAAATGCTCTTCTCGCTGACATAACTCCCCTACTACACTGACAAAATAAAACCACCTTTACAAGAGGCATAGAGCTTTTTGCAACATAATTAGAGTGACGCAGCGTCAGTGTAGAGACAGCGCTTGTTTATGTTGCCCTAATTGGCCTCCAGGAAGTGTCCCACAATGCCCGTCGTGACCGCACTGGTCAGCAGTTTGAACTCCGCTGCCCTGAAGGTACACAGCCACGTGCCGCTCCCCCATTTAAATGCCTGGGAATTTTTGAACTTTTCACTTTCTGTTTGGATGGCATAGACTATTCACACAGCATCTTCCCAGGTGACCATGCTGGTTTTCTGCAACAGATGAGCTCCCACATGGAGTACACCAGAGCTGTTGGATCTGCTGGGTCTGTGGGGAGAGGAGGCTGTGCAGTTGCAGTTTTGCTCAAGTCGTAGGAACTTTGATATCTATGGGCAGATTGCTCATGGCATGCAGGACAAGGGACACAAAAGGGACATGCAGCAGTGCCATGCTATGATCAAGGAGCTGTGGCAGGCATACCAGAAGGCAAGGGGGCCAGCTGTTGTTTTGGTGCAGCACCAAAGACATGCTGCTTCTACAAGAAGCTGCATGCCATCCTTGGTGGTGACACCACCACCACCACCAAGAGCCCTATGGATACTTCAGGCTGGAGGCAGCAGCCAGTGGAGTCAACCCTGGGATGAAGTGGTGGATGAGGAAGTGGAGTTGGAGGAGTGTGTGGGACATGCAACAGAATTGTCCAGTGGCATGGCAAGCCAGGATCTATTTTTTCACTCTGGAGGGGTCTAGCCAGACCCAGCTCTCTGGCTCACATGAAGCAGGAGAGGCAAGCTTTGGTAAGCATACCTTTTGCTTTGGTACTGCACAGTGATAGGAGATTGAGTTCTCATTTACTTTGTTATATGATAGAGAAGGGATAAGGGATAGAAATTAACAACAAAGCCTAAGCAGGTACGCATTGGGGGCCCTGCGGAAAAGTTTGTTAATGTACACTGGGGTGTCTTGGGAATCCTCCATAGGAAACTTTCGTGTAGGTACTCTGCAATCCTCTGCTGAAGGTTCCTTGGCAAAGCTTCCTTGTCTGTCCCCCCGCTGTAGGAAATTTTGCCGTGCCAGCCGGCAATTATTTCTGCAGGGACCAAAGTGGCATATAGGTGAGCAACATACGGACCTGATCTGAAACTGCACGTATGCAGAGATGCACCCTTGCAGCCTGGGATACCCTCAGAAGTGAGATATCGGGTTCGATTACCCAAGCCTTTGGAAAAAGGTGCCAATATTCAGAATACTCTCCCTAGGTGCATGTAGTGACTCTCTCTTCACAAACCATCCAGTTAATGAAAAACTCAGGCTGGACAGCCTGGAAAGGAGACTGGGTCAGGAACGGATAATAGATGAACAAGAGTGGATTATAAAGCTACTGGAGGGCCAGATAGTGAGGCTCAAGTCCCTCATAGTGCTGCAGCCTGAGCACATCCATGCACGATTCCCTCTGCAGCTAATACAGAGTGCCATTCCATGTCCTTCCCAAGCTCCCCCAACACATTCCTTGTATGTTCCCCTTCCGTCGCAGTACCCCTTGCACTCCACCCCGAGAGCCTAGTTTCATGATGAAAGCTGGAGTTGCACACAACTGGAGAGGCTTCACCGAGAGACACTTCTTCATTGCCGTGTCCCCAGTTTGCCAAAAACATAATAATGTTTTATCCTTTAATTAAAGTATAGTCTTTGAAACAAAATGAGTCTTTATTTGTGTCATGCACATGGTAGTTGCTGCTAAAATTCAAATACAGTGGCTATAGGCAGGAACATTTGCTCACTACAATTAAAGCTCAGGAAACAAGCATTACAGGGGTCATTCAAGGCAGCAAGTAAACACTGTCTGTCTGAATGCATCAGATAAAAACACATTACTGGGCCTCATAGTCAAAATGCTCATTCAAAGCCTCCCTGATTCGAATAGCGCCCCCTTGAGCCCCTCTAATTGCCCTGGTATCTGACTGCTCAAAAGCAGCAGCCAGCCAATCCACCCCAGCACTCCACCCTTGGGGAAACTTTTCCCCCTTCATTTTGCAAATGTTATGCAGAGCACAGCAGGCTGCTATGACCATTGGAATATTTTCCTCATTGAGGTCTAATCTGCCAAAAAGGCAGCACCAGCAACCTTTTAATCTGCCAAAGGTACATTCAGTGTTCATTTGTCACCTGCTGAGCCTGTTGTTGAAGCATTCCTTGCTACTGTCTAGGTTCCCAGTGTAAGGCTTCATGAGCCACAGGAGCAAGGAGTTGGCAGGGTGGGCATTGCACATCTCCCATTGGAATCTTCTGGTCTGGACAGAAAGTCCCAGTATGCAGATTTCTATACAGTCCAGTGTTCCTAAAGATGCGTATGTCATGAACTTTCCCTGACCAACCCAAATTGGTGTCAGTTTGATCTGCGGCCAAAATTAGGATATGCGTGCCATCGATCACCCCACTGCCGTTAAGGAATCCCATTGCTGCAAAGCCATCAGTTATTTCCGGCACATTACCCAGAGTCTAGTCCTTTGTTGCAGGAGGCAATTAATGGCCCTGCAACTTGCACCACTGCAACCCCTATGGTGAACATTCCAACTCCAAACTGATATGCGACTGACTGGCAGCAGTCTGGATTTGCCAGCATCCGCACAGTGATTGCCACTCACTTTTCCGCTGTGAGGGCAGCTCTCCTTCTGGTATCCTTGTGCCACAGGGCAGGGGCGAGCTCCACGCACAGTTCCAGGAAGATGGCTTTGCGCATCTGAAAGTTCTGAAACCACTGCTCGTCATCCCGTACATGCATTATGATGCTATACCATCACTCAGTGCTTGTTTCCCAAGCCCAGTACCAATAGTCCACCTTGTGCAGCTGCTCCATGAATGCCAGCTGTAATCTTGAATTCTTTCTTTCCATTGCACACAGCAGGGCAGGCACCACAGATTCACTTTGTATCCCTGCTCATGAAATACTGCAGGACCAGCTGCGTTGTGTTCATAATGCTCATCACCAAACTAGTCAGCAGTTCAGGATCCATGCTTTCAGGCAGAGATGACGGGCACAGTTTACAGGGGCTATTCAAAAATGGCGCGAAACGAAGTCGGAAGCCCATGGAATGATGGGACGGAAATAACTGCATCATGAGATGGTGAGCATTCCTCCATGATGCACTGCAATCTGTTCCCAGCTCTCCCAGTGATAGAGGGTGGCTGGTTACACAGTGAGATAGCTACCCATGATGCAATGCCAGAGCACCAACTATGGATTGTTCTGTGGACATGGACAACTGATGTAATTAAAGCCGCATATGATCGTCAACTTAACTCTTTAGTGTAGACAAGGCCTTAGTAAATAGGTTTCAGCATCAATTAGAAGATGAAGGGTATTATCACAGATAGATATTTAGTGGTCAATTCTTATGTGGCAGAAATGTTTGCTCTAGCTTTTCAACAGAACCACAAATCATACCGAACGTTGCAGAAATTTGTTTGTTCTAATTATTCTCATGATTATGGAAATGCTAAATTCTGAGTGTGGAGTTAGACAGCCTACCTGGATCTGGGCTGGATTCAGCTTTGAAAATGAGCCAACACAGGTCAGATTCAGGCAAGGCTGAATGCATGGAGAACTGTTGATAGTATGTGGTTAAAGGAACACAAGCCAAGACTCAAAACCTGCCCTGGCAGGAAAAGAGCAACCCTGTTTTGTGTAAGTCAGACTGTGAGCTTTCATATGTAATCACTGCAGAGATAAGACAGGAGTTCTCAGATGCAAGAAACTTTGGCATTGTGTTCATCACAAGCACTAGTACAGTATTCCCAACCCCAAGTACAGGTCTCAAAAATCATGAGATTGTTAAAGATAATAAATGTGGGGTTCTTTTCATTTAGCTTTTGGTTTTGAGCCTTCTGGGTGCACTTGAGCCATGTTTTTTAGCTTTCTACATAACCCTGATGGCTAGAAATTTGGTGGTTGTTTTTTTTAAAATGAAAGCTGATATTCTCGTGTAATAACGTAACTCCTGGAATTGGGGCTTTAAGTAAAATACCAAATATTGTGAGACACATGAAAAAAATCAGAGGCATGATCAACACTGCCGTTTGTACCAAAGTATCTCAAATTAACTCTCGTTTGAATAATGTAGGGATCTTTAAGATTTTAATGCTTGTTCTTTTTGGCATTAAAAAGTTAAAGGCTGATAGCAAGGCCATGACTGGTGCTATTTTAGGAGTATTAAATAATACTTTGTACTTCTTTGGTGAACTTCATCTGAGGATCTCCTGGCTCTTTACCTAATTCAGTACATTTAGTATTACAAATATCTATAAAAATAATACTGTTCCATACAGCAACTATGAAGTCTACAATTTATAGTACTAAAATTGTGCTGTACATGTAGTAAATAAGAAGGTGGCACCCAGCATTGCAATGTATTTATTCTGCTGGAAACATAATTGGGTGAACTCCATAGGCAGCACCACAGTTGTGATTGCCTGGTGTGTAATACCACTTGTATTGTGCCTTTGATCTTCAGAGGTCTGCACATACCTGACATGACTTGAGGAAGCCCACTGAGGTTGCTGTGTGAGAGCGGGGATTGGCAGCCCCAGTCTTCCCGTTCTGTGCGTACTCCGTTAGATCCCATCTGTTCCTCTGGTATGTGTGTGCTCACACAGTGACAGTAATGATGCTACTATATCTGATGCTACTTTCTGCATCAAAATGTCACACCCATCTCCTTTCCATCTGCCTACACACTGATGACTGGGAAGTATTAAAAATGAAGAGCCATCATGGGCTAGAATTGCCAAAGTGGAGACATTAAAAATATGTTGCTATCAACATTTGCGTTAAGGAAACCTCAGTTACAGAGTGGCTAAGCCATTCATCATGTGGATTCTAGCAGGTGTGATAGAGGTGCTGCTTCATAATAAAATAAAAGTGCATGAATTCCTCTTCTTGCCATCCACTAATGGATTTTCAGAGACTATGTTCAAGAATCAAAGGAGCACAAAGCAGAACTGAATGTCCTTGTCTATGTATTTGTTCCCTAGCACTGAAATATATGTGGGGACTTCTCCTTGTGAGAGTTCTGGAAAACCATTTTTGTTCCACTTCATTATTCAGTGTTAAGAACTGACAGGATATATTGGATATATTTAATATTCATTACACCTTAGCTGGAAAGAAAACTGAAAGACACTCTTGTCCACCTCCAAAGCTGCCAGTTTTTCAGGCTTAATTTATTTAGTTATTCCACTTGTTCAAAAGTAGTATACTTGCTAAGAATCAAATTCTGCCTTCGCCTCAGCTTGCAGAACTCCAGCTAAAATCAATGGGGAGGTATATGGATTTATCTAGGAATATAATTTGTCTCTGTATTTTAAATATACTTATTAGGAGCATGCTGCTTTTTTCCATTCCTTTTCATAGTAACTCTAGTAAGGCAGATGTCATTATTGCAAGGCTAAACCACAATGACTGTTAAGTGAACCTGTGTGGAATTTGCCTCTGCAGGCTCTGGCAATAGATGGGATTAATTTGTTATGGACTTCTGAGTTCCTGTTATGACATTCTTGCTGTCTGATACGCAGCATGAGCTAGTTATTTTCAGCTCCATTGTAATGGTAGGATGTTTTGACAACATGGAAGGAACATGATATAATTAAAAGAGAAGAAATGAAAGGTTCAGAAGGATGGAATAAAGCACAAGTATATAATGTAATCTGATTTTTTTTATCTCTTGCTACCCCCCCCCCCCCGGCTCTTGCTTTCATGCTTATAATTAAACATCCTTAGAATTAGGCAAGTTTTAATGTCAAGCTAAGGTGAAACTAGTGAATAATAAGGGAAAGTGCTTCAGTACCGCCTTTAAGGTTTATGGGGGTGATTTACACAGCACCTAATAGATTTATGAGCACAGATCTCATTAGCTTTCAATGGGACCCTTCCTCCTAACCCCCCCTTAGGTGATGTTGAAAATCTTGTATCTTGTCTTTGCTTAATTCAGGTCAGATATGTGCATATCATCCTGGGCTTCTTCCATATGTTCAAATGAATACAAACAAAAGCCACAAAAGGTGGTCAAAGCACCACCCTTCTCTTGGAAGTGCAGTGACATGGCAGTATTCTTAATATCCTTTGGCTAATGAGCCCTCTAGGGACTAAGGCACAATTTCTCTGATGACCTGAGAGAAAATATCCATATGGTATGAAATGAAGAGCTTCCTCCCTAGAAAAGCCAAGAGATTATATGTATATTAAGGAAGGATGATAGGAGAAAATTATGAATGGTCTCGGCCAAAGTTTGTTTGCATTGCACAAGCGATTAATATTTTGTACATGCTAGATTTTGTTTAAGTGACGTAGGGGCAGATTTACAGAACATCTCAGCTTCCATTTAGGCACCGGAATAAGTGGCCAGCGGATGTCCCGCACAGGATGCTGAGCACTCTGGCCAGATTTGGATGTGCTGAGAGAATTTTGAAAATCTGGCCCCATGTGCTTTATGAAAAGTAGGGTCCTTTAAAAATCACAGCCTGTGTGTTTGAAAAGCCGCTAGATTAAAATGCATTTCTGTAATTGGTGTGAGTCGCACATTAGCAATTAGAAGGTTTGCACCCAAAAATGTGCTGCATTTGTAGATCTACTGCACAAGAATGTTATGTATCATTACCGTTTTGGTTAGTTATTATCTGATAATAGATAGGTAAAATAATTGCATGCAATATGTGGCCAGTTTGTGAATGAGGTAATTGTCTACAGCAGGGGTTCTCAAACTTCATTGCACCGTGACCCCCTTCTGAAAACAAAAATTACTAAACGACCCCAGGAGGGGGAATGAAAGCCTAAGCCCGCCCAAGTCCCACCACCTCAGGTAGGGTATGGGGGGCAAAGCCCGAGCTCCTCTGGGCCAGGGTGGGGGTGGGCAAAGCCAAAGCCCCAGGGCTTCAGCCCAAGGCAGGGGGCCTGTAACCTGAGCCCCGACACCCACAGCTGAAGCCCTTGGGTGTCAGCTTCAGCCCCGGGCGGTGGGACTTGGGCTTCAGCCCCATACCCTAGCAAGTCTAAGCCAGTCCTGGCAACCCCATTAAAATGGGGTCGCAACCCACTTTGGGGTCCCGACCCACAGTCTGAGAACCTCTGGTCTACAGAAATTCAATATGGACAGAAGGGTACAAGGCTTTTCACAGCAGCAGAAGACCAATTAGCATTTAAGTTGGTTCTCCTTAAGACAGCAGCATTTATCAGAGCTTTTGATATCTGGCTTGCAATTGGAAGCATAGCAATTCTATAATGGAAGGTTTTTATTGCACAAGATTTTTTGTGGATGCCCGTTAGTGAATCTGAGTGTATGCAAAAGGTGTTCTGAGTCACCTTATGCAAGCTGTCCATTCAAGCACTGGCGTTTTAATTTTTTCAAGGGAAATAAACAGGAATACTAATGAGCATTTACATAGCACTTTTTATCTATGGACCTCAAAACACTTTATAAAGGTGATTAAGCATCATTTTACAACTGGGAAACTGAGGCACCGAAAAGTGAAGTGACTTGCCCAAGGTCATATATCAGCTCAGTGAGAGATCTGAGAAAAAAACTCAGATCTCTTGACTCCCATTTCAATGTCTTCTTCAGTGAGCCATGTTTCCTGTTTGATTTCTGATTGCATTTGGTGTTAGTGCTACATACGTCTTGTTTCTTTAGATGGTACTTAGTCCTTTGACCATTTAAAAATATTGGTGGTTAAAGAAGCAGTTGGTCTCAATGAGACCTTTGCATGCTGGACTCAGATGTTTTACGTAGGAATGATGGACTGGGTGCTAACAAACCCAGTAGCAATTAGGGTGGTTTTGTTAAGCTTCACTGTGACTAGGAGACTTTTTCCTCCACTACTCTTACACTGTTGTTCCGTTTACAGACCCTCTTTTTATTGGTTTGCAGCATATTTACAGATAGATTGTATTTGTGGCATTTCAGGATTCACAACTGGTAATAGAAGCCTTTAAATCAGGGTTTGAACCACCAGGAGATATTGACTTTGAAGACTTCACTCAGCCAATGAAACGCACTGTCTCGGAATCCAGCCTTTCAAATTCCAGATGGGATGGAAAATCTGAGCCCAAGCCTGGCAGCAAATCCAAAGGCAAATTGTGGCCATTCATCAAGAAAAATAAGGTACTGACTTTCAGACTTCATCTCAGTGTCCGTATGTTTGTAGCCTTTAATGGCTTTCTTGTTTAGTAATCCTGGCAATTAATTTAAGACTAAAAAAAACCTGAACTTTAGTTTCAGAAAACTAATAGCTGATGTCCTATTATGGTGTTTTGTTACAATCTTATTTTGTTTTTTACTTTTAAGATATTTTTATTTCTATATAATTTCTTAAATTGTGTTGCTCTTTGTTTATTTACCCTTTTAGTTGTCTTTGCCATGGTCCATTTGCTTCTAATTCAGATCAGGGATTGTGTATGCTGTGCATGCTAACGAACTAACAGCGTCACTCCAGTGTTACTATTCTGACACTTCTCAAACTCTCCTCAGCTTTTTATTGGCGTTATCGTTTCGATCTGTACCACGGGTACAGCAGTTGGGGAAGCTGGGAGTGGGGAATGGCTGTAATTTGCTCTTTCACAGCACATCTAATTGAGCCTCTACAGTGCTGCTGATCTTTTTTTTTTTTTAAACTCACATGATCCTTTATATCCATTAAACTCTTCTCTCCATTGTCATATTTTACACCATGATGCATGGCAACATTTATCTGGGATTATCGGTGTGTATCAGGATGACTAGACAAATTCTGCTCTCAGTTACACCAGCACAAAACCAGAGAACTCCTTTGATGTAGCCTCATTCTCTGTTGCGCTTCTCCTTCCCTAGCCATTGACAGCGATTGCAAAGTGGGTACAGAGCACTAACAAATCAGAATGGTACAGTCGCTGATGTAAATGATGTCCTGAAACGCAGGGCAAGAGAGACTCAAGCCCTCTGGTGCTTACACTCATGTAACCAACGGCAGAATCTGGCCTAACACCTCTCTCTTGTAAATTTGTCGTGTAATTTTAAAAAGATAAGTGTGGTGTGCATAGAGCAAGGTGACTTGAAAGCAGGAAGAATGAGGCTTGTTGTCTTCCAGCTAATAGAAACGCTACTGGGCACTAAGGTACCTTCCTAATTTGATTCATGTAAATTCAGGTGTTTGAAAGATCTATTAATGTGCATCATTCTGACCGGCCCACAGAACTAGCAAAGAGTAACCTATGGGAATAGAGTTTGCATGTAAGAGTCTGCATGAGCTTTCTGTCAAATTATTCCATCTTATTTTTTTGTTGCATTACTTACTACAATTCCTATTTTTATCACATTCTTCTTTTAACACAAATCTTGAACACTCTTTTCCCTCCCTCTTTTTTTTTGAACCATGGCTTTAAATATTTAATTATTTGTTTTTAATTGCTTTTCCTGGATTTTGAATATGGTTTTTGATGCTTATTTTCGTTTTGTGTTTTATCTTTTTATTTTGGTTTTTTATTCTATCACTTCTCCATCTCTTATACGTAGCTTATGTCCCTTTTAACATCCCCCCATCAGCCCCCTCCTCCTCCCCCTGCCTCTGCCTCACCCTCTGCTGTTCCCAACGGCCCCCAGTCTCCCAAGCAGCAAAAGGAACCCCTCTCCCATCGCTTCAACGAGTTCATGACCTCCAAACCCAAAATCCACTGCTTCAGGAGCCTAAAGCGCGGGGTAAGTTCTCCTCTGGATACCGCTTGCTGTCTGTCTTTCTTGCGCTTTTATTGCACGTTCTGTTATGTAAAATCTTGTTTTGTGAATGAAGCCATTGTGTTTTACCATAACATACAGACAGACCCAAGGAATCCAATCCTGTAAAGTCATTTGTAGTCAAAACCCCCACAATGAAACCACAAAAACAGATTCCTGTTTGAAATGAATGGTTCCTTTTGGACAGAGGATCACTTTCCTTTTCCAAAAGGTAGAAGGAGAGATGTAATATTAAATAACTCTTCACACAGAGACAAAATAAGTACCTCATTGAGTAGCACTAGGGCATAGAGAAGTTAAGTGAGAGTTTGTCCAAGATCTCACAGCCTGTGGAAGAGCTGGGAAAGAACACAGTTCTCCTGACTCCCACTCTGTTGGACCATGCTGACACCCCCAGATACAGAAGCATGAAGAATTGTATCACAGCATTTCTAGGTATGTCTTCTAGACGTTTCCCATTGAGCCTGCAGAATCTGTTGGATTCTGGGCTGACTTTCGCTCCCCATGACTGAGAAACGATGTGCACAATTTAGAACTCCATGCAGTATGTAAGAACTTTATACTTCTACACTCAGGGGGCTACAGGACACAAATAAGATCTCTTTTAAATAGCTCTGACAGAATGTGTCAGATGTTGCATTTTCTGTAATCTTTATTCACATGATTTCAGTGAACTGCTTGCAGGAGCCTGAGTCTGTATTTGTAAATTAATGTTTGGGATATTTATACTGAGCTAAAAATGATTCTCATTATAAGTCTTTGTATACACAGCTTCTGTAAATTTTTAAAACTTCACATTTAAGGCAGAATGTTTCTTCCTTTGAAAATTAAGACATGTCTGTTATTGTACCATGTTGTGCCATCAGTTTTTAAGCATGCTAAGAAGTGGATGGCACAGTATAGCCCTTGGTTATTCGGTAATTTCGTAAGGATTATGTTCCTTTCTAAGCCTAATGGAACAGTATGGAAAGCAGCTATAACTGTTAGTTTTCAGTTTTTTTAAAGCGAGCTGTCACAATAAGGAGAAAACTGGATATAAAGGGCCAAATTCTGCTCTCCACAGGGAATCCCATTGATAGTTTGATCCAGAAGATGTAGTTCAGTAAAACTGGGAATGATCTGTATAGAGAACTTTGTAATTATATGACGTTGAAGTGTTTGGAGAACTTCAGTGCAATCCGCATCCTAATCACTGGATCTGGTTACAAAGAGTAAATCATTTTAAAAAAAATTCTCTTAAGTAGCATATAAAAAAACAACATTACGCTCTGTCTGGGAACTGCCATCTTGACAAGTTTACAGTTCAAAGTAGTACTAAAAAATTAGTTTCCTCATCAAAAAGCCACTGGTAAATTGAAAGTTTCAAAGTTTGTCATAAAATAAGTGGAAAATTACAGAACTTCCCTCACAAGAATATTTCTTAATGACTTCTGAGGGGGAAGCCCATTCTTTCAGTTCTACATTGGAGGCTCTCCTTGTAGGGGTGTCTCTGAGACAGCTGGATTCTGATAGGCTTGCTCATGTTGAGTAGCACCTTCCTCCGGGATTAGCTCAAGTGATTTAAATGGGACTACTCATAGAGTGAGCAAGGGTATAACTGTCTGGCCTTGTGGAAGGCATCAGTGTGGTTCAATGAACAGTGTTCCCAAAACAGTGTTGGGTATTTCTAGCTTGTAAAAATGTCTTTTTTATTTTGCACCACACAAAAGCCCTGAGGTGCTTCAGAAATGTATATTTCCAATGTACATATTCTTATTTAGTAAATATTTGGCTATCTAAGCAATTATGACTAATCACTTTAAACATTTTTGTTCATGAAATCTCATTGTACACTAATCATATGACAGTACTAAGAGAGCCTCTATTCAAGCTTTAATGCCCCCTCGGCCAAATTCACACGCATATGGTGTATACCGTATAGTTTTTAACTGAGTAGAGTGAAAACTGAAATTATAAAGGTAAAAAGCTCACCTAGCTTTCTTTAGAATCACTCTAATTATCCACTGACACATTCATTTTTTTAAAAAACGAAAATATCTTGTTAAAGCCCCGTTAAACCTTTGGATGTGCTTTTCTGTATTTCACTTCCTTTTGTTGTTAGCTACCAAGATGTTTGTGTGTAAACAGATACTTTTCCCTGTCTGATTCATCAATACCACAAGCCAACGTTTAGAACATTACACCTTGTTCCGTGGGGCAAATTGAGGCCACTTCCTCCATATACAAGTACAGAGCAACAGAGGCAACTAAGTTGTGGAAGCCTGCTCTGGTTGTCTACAAAACTCATAAAGTTCACGTTCCATTGATCTTTGGTGGCCAGAGTTACTAGGTGAAATTCTATGGCTCACTGTTATGCAGGAGGTCAAGGCTAGACAATCATAATGGTCCCTTCTGGCCTGAAAAACCTATTGTATCTATATAAAAGGAATATGGCTGGCATGTGTTAGTGCAGATATGGTCTAACCCAACCCCTCATGTTTAGTGCAGGTTGATTGTAGCCCCAGCAAAAACATCTGCATGGGGCCAGAGCTATGTCAGAGTAAGCATCTGGATTAACGCTGGTTTTTCAGTGTTGATATTATAAGGTATGCCTGTCCTGGCCTCCCCCTACTCCTGCCAAATCAAACAGGACTTGAATTTGGCACATGAGGATGACCTCTGATATTACACATATTGGACAGCGGTGTTACTGAAGGAATTTGGCAGGAGGAGATTGGGAGAAGCTGCCTATATTGAAGAAAGCTTTTACTGCTGCACCGATGAGAAAAGAAAATACAGGTGGAAAAGAAATACAGGAACCCTATAGGACAGTGCAATTTAGGGGATGTTCGGCAAAGCAAAAGTGTTTAACTGACCAAAATGTTTCATTAGAGCTTGCTGTTGTTTATATACTCCCTCTGTTTGCTCAGACAGTATGCCCATCCTAGCAAAATATCTTGCAATAGAAATAGCCTCCATAGATGCCTAAATATTACTGTAGATTCTTTAGTTAATCTAATCAATAAGGGACAGACTCTAAGAACATAAGAACGGCCCTGCTGGGTCAGACCAAAAGTCCATCTAGCCCAGTATCCTGTCTTCCAACAGTGGCCAATGCCAGGTGCCCCGGAGGGAATGAACAGAACAGGTAATCATCAAGCGATCCATTCCCGGTTGCCCATTCCCAGCTTCTGGCAAGCAGAGGCTAGGGACACCATCCCAGCTAACAGCCATTGATGGACCTATCCTCAATGAGCTTATTTAGTTCTTTTTTGAACCCTGTTATAGTTTGGCCTTCACAACATCCTCTGGCAAGGAGTTCCACAGGTTGACTGTGCATTGTGTGAAGAAATACTTCCTTTTGTTTGTTTTAAACTTGCTGCCTATTAATTTCATTTGGTGACCCCTAGTTCTTGTGTTATGAGAAGGAGTAAATAACGCTTCCTTATTTACTTTCTCCATACCAGTCATGATTTTATAGACCTGTATCATATCCCCCCTTAGTAGTCTCTTTTCCAAGCTGAAAAGTCCCAGTCTTATTAATCTCTCCTCATATGGCAGCCGTTCCATAACGCTAATAATTTTTGTTGCTCTTTTCTGAATCTTTTCCAATTCCAATATATTTTTTTTGAGATGGGGCGACCACATCTGCACACAGTATTCAAGTACTCTGCCAGCTTTACTCATATTGACTCATATTGGTCCCTTAGGGCCCAATCCAACTCCCATTAAAATCAGTGGAAAGATCACCACTGACTTCACTGGGAGTTGGATCTGACCCATACTATATAAATACTCCCCTTAATTTCAGTGGGAGTAATTGCTTAGTAAGAGACTATTCAATTTGAGCAAGTTTGGTAGAATCTGGATCTAAACAACTTAGGTCAACAAATGCAAAATTGCACATGGTGTGAAATTCCTATAGTAATTGGCACTTTGCTATGCAAAAATAAATGAAAACCACACCATTACTACATAAATTCCAGGCATTCAGAATGGATTTGGCTGTTTAGTAAATTCTAGTGACTTCCACGTGTAATTTTTATTTAGCACAGGGTGTTGTTACGCAGCTCGGGGATGTGAAGAAATAATTCCTGAACTTAAAAAAGAAATAGCACAAAACTGTTAACAAATATTCAAAGAAACTATGTGAGATACCAATCCTACATTCAACCTGTTTTGAGTTAGGTCTCCAAACTGATGAGTTCTTGAATCCTTCTCCTTGGGAAGAGGCAGAAGTCCATCCAATAATCAAGAGCAGACATTAGCTTAGTTCAAAGGGTTTCAGTCAGCATCAATATGAAGGGTCACTGGCAACTTGAAATCCTAGTCAGTCTTTAAAAATTTAGTTAAAAGTTGTTGCAGGTGCCTGCATCCTGCAAATTTCTGTGGTTTTTGAATAATATTTTCCATAACATTTTTCTCTCTTCCTTTTTTCTCTGAAAGACCCACACAAATAGAAGAAATTGACAGATAGTACAGGAGAAACAGTGAAACTGATCTATACTAGGTGCTGTAATCAAACTAGAAATGGAGAAAGATTGTGTTTCTCTATTTTCTTTTAATTATAGTCATTTTAGATGTTATATGTAAAAATAATATTGTTTTTTTTTAAATCAGGCAGAACTATGGTCTTTAAGTTGACTGTGTCCCTTCAGGGAAGTTAGAGGGGCAAAAAAAGCATATGCAGAAAATAAGGAACCACTTATATAAGTCATAGTTTCATTTATGCTTGCTCTACATTTTCAAATTCCATTTTTAAGGGCATAAAAAAATCCAGTTCTTTGTTACTTGATATTAATTTTATGTTGTTTTATTTTACAATTGCTGAGTGGCAGTAACACAAGTTTTTTCATTTAAAAAGCAACTCTTTTAAACAAACAGAAAAATCCAGATTTTACATATATTACTGGGCTCAACCACATTCTGTTCTCCAGGCCATCCCAGTACAAACAAGAGGGGGATTTTGTGGTTTCTTTTCTAGTGGAAGTTGTTGACTTTATTACAACTTTTCTTTCCATTGCACCAGTTAATACGTTTCCTTGATCATTTTGTCTCGCCTCTGTGATATCCTGTTCATTAATGTGACACCTTAACTATCAGTCCGCCTGTACTAAATGTTTCTTCGTTTTGGGTGATATGTAGAGTCAGCATACAAGAAAAGTAACTGCATCTCTTGCCCTTGGGAATGTTCATTATTTTAGTACATACCCTGTGCCAAGACCAGTTTTTTTAAAAGCCTTAATTTAGTCTGGCCTGAACAAAGAAATAGTTTCTAATTTGGCATGTTTAATCTAGTTTTTAAAAATATGATGCTTAGTTAATTTACCAAAAGAGAAAAAATCCCTCAGAAGTTATCTGGCATCTTGCAGGTTCCCACCATCACACTTAAATGCTAATTAAGCCCAGGGCTGTCTTTTTTGCTGTAGAAACAGTAAATGTTGAGGTGTCCTTGTTAGTCTCCTCTTTAACAAGTGTGTGTTTTCTCTTGCTGACTCACCGGCAGACTCACTCTTTGTATTTTCACAAAGAACTCATGAAGAGGACTTTAGGGAAACCCACGTGTGCCGTTGAGGCTAGGGACTATGTTGTAAGTTTGTGTATGGTGTGATCAACCCATACAGTTGCTGCACAGTCACTAACCCCACTTACAACACTGCAAAAGGGTGCTTCAGTGGAAATGAGGTTCGCAGAAGGCATAAGGAAACTACAAATTCATTGTGAGGAGAGCCATGACTTACTGATAGAAACAACTGATCCTGTGAAAGAGGTTGCAGCTGTCAGTACTGGAAAAGCTGGAATTGGCACAACTAACATGGTTAAACATGGGAAATTCAGACCACAATGGAACCTGCTTAAAGTGAGTTTAGCTGTCACAAACCTCTACAGGAAAGCATAATCCCAGACTATTTCAACTCATTGCAGTGTGCTAATTGCAAGACTGGTTAGACTTGTAGGCTGCCCTCTGCTATACAGTGAGGTTTTTCTGTGTAAAGGTATTCTAAGAGAGTTCCACTCTATTTGTTAAGAATATTTTTGTGGCTCTTTGTAAATATAAGCCTGTCCATGCAGAATGGCAGTGCATTCATGCTGTGGTATATACTGCACCTTTTCAACAGAGCTTTAACTTGCACTGCTACCACCACTACGGCTTCCCTGAACCTCATGTAACATTTGTGGTTCATGGGATCGAGAGCTGTGACTTCTAAACAAGCGTCACGAAGCCAGACTGTAGAGGAGATAAAACATTTTAGCCTTTGATAAACCCGATGTCTGGTGATTTATTTCAATCCCCTGTCTTTTGTAAGTGAGGTTAGTGTCCGTGATTGTCCAATAACACATGGACTTGTTGGCTTTTGTGCTCTCTCATGTGTTATTGAAGCTTGTGGCTCTTAGGCTCTTCATTGTTCCCTGCAATGCTAAGTTAGACCTATCTTAAAGGAACAGTTGCATGGGATTTGCTCATTACATTTTCTAGAAATGTCACTCTCTAATCATTTGAAGAAAAGTCCCTATTCTCACATGAACTGAGCAAATCTCTTAACTGTGAAAACCCAACAGAATTGGCCAAACAAAAAAGCAGTCATTTAGTAACTACATTTAATACACATTTGTTTTCAGTCTTCTCAGATGTACAGCAATTGAGTTGCTGCCACATAATGTCGATGTTCTTCAAAACCAGAAAACTTGGAATCTGCTTTTAAATTCAGCATTTCATTGTTTTCATTTGATTTACAACCTATTAGAATCTCTACTGCTTTGTTATTCATGCTGTGCATAACAATGCCTGTTGTACATTTTTGGGGGTGTTATCAAATTTCTGGTTTTCATAATACTTAACAAACAACAACATATGAATTAGACATGCAATGTCTATTATTCCTTAACATTTGCTGAATTTACAGTAAAAGAATAGTTTTAATGCTAATGACTCTTTGGCCATAGTTTAGTCTTTAGAATGATTAGTGTTTACAATGTAGCGCATGTAGCAAACATTTGTGCATTATAGAGTGCTTTGTAGGTAAATATTTTTTCTGCTTCATAACTGTTGCGTGTATTTGTGTAGAAGGATCTCAACTTGTGCTGATCATGTCTATGCTAAAGTTCACAGGAATGCTAAAGCAATTATGAAAATAAGGGCTGCCTAGATTTGAATTTCTTCAGCAAGATATTTAGTCAGTTCCTCCTTTCATTTGTATAATTATTCCTCTTCTTTCAAAAATAAATTTACTTTTGTTTGGTTATTTCAAAGGCCTCTTCATTTCTTGAGTTAGACTTCTCTAGGCTCTGGGGTCAGGGCCATGTTTTTATTTACTGGCTAACTTAACTGCAGGGGAACCTATTTGACCTGTTTCATTATCACAAAAATGCAATTCAGGATGGATCAATTCAGGGGCAATATATCATTATTTGTTTTAAGACCACATTTTTGTTTGAATGCTTGGCTTATTTTTATTTTAATATAAAATTAGACTCTGCCAAGTGACTGTAAGTAACCTTTAGAGTTTCCTAAAGGTTAAAATGCAATGACAAAAGAAAGATGTGCTTAACTTGTGCTTCCACTGCCCTGCCATTATTTTAGGTCCAGTCTTAGAGAACTGTGCTTGCCTAAAACTGGCATATCTGTTAGCTTATTAAAGATCAGAACACAATAACCGATGGACTTCCCAGTTTTCAATTGCATGCAACTTTTGAATGCAGAAGTGCACTCAGGTCTTAAATGATGGCTTAGCTCATGGTGCGAGCGGAGTGCCTGCCCTCCATGTTCCATCTGAGTTTCTTTGCTTCAGCACAGAGTATATTTCAATGCATTTATACCTTCTAGGGGTTTGCTACATAGTTTGTGAATCCCAGCCATTACACTTGAGAGGCTTGCAACACAGTCAGAATGCAAGTTATCGGAGAATGAGGTGGGATGAGCTCTTGGAAGAATCCAACTTTGTTTCCCCTCCCTTCCAAGCAATAACCTTTAAAACCCAGTTTCTTGTATTAAACTGCAGTTAAATCATGCCCCTAAGTCCAGTATGGAATGGTGCTGAAATACTACTTGGTATTCGGTGCAGCTCCTGGAAGGCACCCTGTGTTGCAGCTGTGACAGTGGCTTTGCAACACGGGTAAGAAGGCACTGTAATGAGGTACTGCAACACCATTTAAGATAGCTGTATTTGTAAGTTTTGTAGGACAGGGACAAAACACGCATATGGCCTTTAATGCACAACACTCAGGCTCTTAGTATTCAGGCTAATTGAATGATAACGTATTGGCTGTACATAAAGAAATATAGCAGCCTTTGAGGAAAGAGATTGTATATATCATATAAGGGACTTGCATATTGGTCAATAGCGTGGGCATGGAGATAAAAGTGAAAATCCTAAATGGAAATAATTGGGTAAAAAGAAGGGTAGAGATTTTTTTTTCTTTGCTGTGATCTTGTCAGACCTTATAATCTAAACAAGCTTGATTAGTAGTTGGATGGGAGACCTACAAGGTGCTGCAAGATGTGGTGTTGGTTATTACACAGAGGACACTTCCCTCTTAATTAATGCTCCAGCATGGTAGTAAGGGAATACTGTCTTTTGGGTGGAGACATGCAATCTAGGCCCTGACCACTTGGAATCATTAGAGATCCCATGGCATGTTTTACAGGAGAGGTCCAAGGGTTAGTCCCGATGTCCTGGCAGAATTTCAATTCCTTATTATTTCCCACTCCTGCCCTAAAGAATTGTATAGCATGGCTGGCACCGGTGACGTGTGTTTCAGGGCCTCTTCAGCGTTGAGTGTGATAACCCACCTAATTATGTAAGTATTGTAAAGCACCAGTTTTGCTGAGTGCAAGGTGCAACTTAAAGGGGATATGCTATTGCTATCTTAGCGTTGACGTCAGTCAGCCTGAGTCATGTTTTCACCTGCACTGCCAAAGCAAATATGCAAAGGTGTAACATGTTTTCCTTTTCCACTTCCACTGATGAAATGGCAGCTGAATGGTAGTGTGTGGCCCATCTTGTGAACTTTTGCACAGATCTGTTACCCATTTTCACATCCCAACAGTGAGGAGAATACGTGTGTCGTTTTATTATAACAGTAGGACTGAAGAAATTCCTCTTCTACTGATGCACTTGTTTTTTTTCTCTTTTTTCCTGTACTCCTACCATTTTTACATGAAGCTTTCTCTCAAGCTGGTAAGCACAATTACAGCATGTTTGTCCTGTGTTTTAACCACAGTTTTCTGTGTGTGTTTTTCTTTGTGTGCACTATGACACCTACAACATGACTGAAATTAATTTTAAATTTGTTTCTTCTTTGTGTTTGCTTTGTTTGACATTTATCAGATAACTTTGAATACGCAGGTCTGGAATCTAATAGAGGTGATCAGAATTCAATCTTTCTAATAAGCTGCTAAAAAATTAACTCTAATTTATAATGTAGTTTATCCTTATTTTTTTGTAATCTAGGGCAGGGGTTCTCAAACTTCATTACTCCATGACCCCCTTCTGACAACAAAAATTACTACATTACCTCAGGAGGGGGAACCAAAGCCTGAGCCCGCCCGAGTCCCACCTCCCTGGGTGGGGTGGGGAGCCCAAGGCTAGAGACCCACCACCCTGGGCAGGGAGCAAGGGGGGAGGCAAAGCCAAAGCCCAGGGCTTCAGCTCATGGCAGGGGGCCTGTAACCTGAGCCCCGATGCCCACGGCTGAAGCCCTTGGGCAACAGCTTCGGCCCCGGGCGGTGGGTCTTGGGCTTCAGCCCCAGGCCCCAGCAAGTCTAAGCTAGTCCTGGCAACCCGATTAAAATGGGGTCCCAACCCACAGTTTGAGAACCGCTGATCTAGGGCTATAAAAGTGTAGCAAAAATTACACCAATCAGTCCTATTGCTGTATCTGAAATATACATGGAAGAATTAATGTTATAAGTATCTCTACTGTGGCTGTGCTGTGGCCCTTTATACAGAGAAAAGTAAAAGCCTTTTATCCGACTGCAACATGGTCATCAATTGTGTGTTTTCCATGTTCAGGTACTAATAATCACTGGAAGTCTGAATCATTGTTACCTGCATTTTACAGCCCTATATAGTCCTCCAGAAAAACTAACAATGAAATTAATTAAAGTGAAATAAACCTTAACCAAGAAGGTTAACTCAGATTGATTTAAATTTGCAAATGAGCATGTATATATGAATCCTAAATCTAGTCTTGGATACAACCGGAATGATATCTTGAAATATGGTAAGAGCATGCATCGCAAAATTGAAAAGGGAAGGGGTAAGAGCATGTGTGAAAAGAAATGATGTGATGTTGTATTTTACATCCAAGACAGCATACTGTTAAGGCAGAGTTATCCGAACCTTGGTATGTTTTAGATAACTTCTCTTGGCTTTCTTGCCACACCTGATCCCAGCCAGAAGAATTCAATTTAAATAGTTTGCTGAATCATTTCAGGCCAACATGTAGGAGGGTACAAAGGACTGATTTAAGTTTTAGGAAGCCTCAAAGGATCTGCAGTAGCTCATTAGTGATGTTAGTTTGGGAGGTTTCCTTCTTCTGGTCAGTCAGGGTCTTTAGGTTTCTTTCATCCCATTATTCTGGTGTTCACCATTCTGCGCCAAGTCTCCCCAAAACGGGTGACTTCTGTCACAAGGTGAGAGACTTACTGGTGGCTTCCTCTAAGAATACCTGTGCCATTAAGGCTTCTCACCTCCATTGGAATGCCTGCAGCAGGGTTTATGCATCTTCATGGGGATTTCAAGCACTTCTGTTCCACTGATGCAGTGCAAAGCATCACTTAATGTAGACATTATCTTTCCAGACACAGTCAAAACCTAAATACTTCAGCCCCATGACAGTCCCAAGGAAAAATGGCAGAGATCCAGAGATCCCTCAGTTACTTACAAACCCAGCTGCCCTTAGCTCTTTGTAGCTCAAAAGCTTGTCTCTCTCACCAACAGAAGTTGGTCCAAGAAAACAGATTACCTCACCCACCTTGTTTCTCCACCAAGCCACAGAGCTAGCAGCCATTGATGTTTATACAGAGTCCTTCCACTCATTCTATTTGCTAGTCATATTACTAGTAAGCAGCTGATGCATTGTGTGTGTAAGCCAGACCTTTCTATGCAGCAGCGTGTACTGTAAAGTATAGCCAACCTGCGCAAAAGGTTCTTGACTTGACCCTTTTGGGTCAGAATTTGGAGCCTCCTTTTTGATGAGAAGTTACTCAGTGAATTCAGTGAGGGTTCTTTTTGAGTCTCAGGGATGCAGTTCTATGCCGCATTAATGCATTGGTCTGAAATATTGTCTACTAGTGCCCACCGTATTGCTAATCCTGCTGTGCTTGGATCCTGCAAGTGTGGGCCTCAGTTTCTGGATGAGGAAGGTTTCAGAATTAAACCCCCATGTTAAAAGGGCTTTTCCTTTTTCAGTTAAGTGCTTTTGTGACTTCCAGTTAAGGTATCATTGGGGGGAGTCTGTTGCATGTGCGTATCCTCTAAGTAGTGTGTTTTTGTAGCCTTTCATGTAGCTACATATCCCTCCCGTCCTCCAAACAGCCCCAGACTCTTCAGCTTGATATGTACGAAGATATGTACATCTTTAATGATTTTATTCCATTGGCAAAATACATGGACCTCTTGTAATGCCTGTACCGGGGATGGGGAATATTTTAAAGAAAATGACATTTGCATGAACAAGAGTAAATGAAAACAGACCTCTCCTGTAGCATGTAGAGTCTAATGATGTGGTGGAGGTAATAAATCAAATCTGTCCACGATTACAGGGTGTGGCATGAGATTTTGGAATGTACCATATTTTAGCTAACTGGTAAAACCATTGTTATTTCTTGCATTCACATTCATTTTGCCTTCTAATCCTTTCATAAAATGGGAATATTTTTTGAAGTGGACTTAAATTCCACTAAAGAGACCAAGCCCAGGGATATGGGAGATCATTGTCCCTGTAAGTGAGAGTGCTGTTGTGCCAGTTTTCCGTAATGACCTGTTCAGTGTTCAGTCCTACTCGGGCTGGGGGGAGCGCAAGGGGACCCATTATAACTGCCCTCCGCTCCCTTCCTACACACACAGGCTCTGTCTAGAACACAGCACCTGCTACAACTCGGAAAAAGCAGGCTGTCTTGGAGAACCCCGCCAGTGCGCAGCTGAAAAGGTCCGTGTGCTGCTTTTGAGGCAAAGTATTTGCTGAATCACACTCTTCTGAGGAAAGCATTTGGCATTTTAACACAATCCACCTAGCAACTTCGATCACAAGCCATCAGTAAGCTGCTTGGCCAGCTGAACTTTGTCTGGATTTGCATTTGCATGGTCAGCTTTCCCTCCCCCCAACCCTAATATCCCTTTGTATGAAGGAATTGTTGGCATTACATTTGTGAAATCCTCTGTATAAATTCAGGTTAGTAATTTAGATTAGGGTAAAGCTAGTTTATTAATATTGAGATGTCCTCAGCCTCATTTACCATAGCCCCTCCACTCATCTCCCTGCCAGAGAAAGCAGGGACTGCCATAAAAAAAATCATAAAGGCTCGGAAACTCACTGCATATGTTTTATCTACTCTATAAATCCTGTGCTGCCAGGAAGGGGAGCAGCAGTCTGAAGGCAGACGGGCTATTTTGTTTCAAACAAAATCAGAAACAGATGAGAAATGGGAGGCCTGATTCTCCTCCCTCTTGTTCTGGTTTTTCTGATAGTGTAACTCCGTGACTCTAATGGAATTACTCCTGATTTAAACCAGTGTAAGCGAGAGGAGAACCAGACCCGCTGGATGGTTCAGGGATTCAACATATGGTGCATCCATCGTGAACCACTGGAAAGAATACAGTATGGTTATAAATTGTATGCATAGCCCCAAAGGTAAAATTTCTATAGTGTGAGTGAGTGCAAGAGAGTCTTAACATCAGAGAGCACCTCTAAGGGAGTAGGAAATGGTTTACCCATTTTATCAAGGTTACTTCTACGGCACTAGCACCCACAATCTCCATGTTGCCAGAGGAAGCCATATCCTGGCTGTGGGTTTGCAGTTTACAGTTGTGCAGGTGAAACGGAACCACAGCATGAGAGTAAAAGCTTGCAAGTGCTTCCCAGTGAAGATGACATCTGCAGCACAGCAGGGGAAGGCAGGAAAGATTGGGCCTCCGTAGAGAATAGAACTCTGTTAGATAAAATCCAGTGTGGTGTTAAATCAGGATGGAAACAGATTCACAACTTCTAGCATTGGGCTTCCATGTTTCTTGGCTGGCAGTCTTCTGCTGTCTGTTTTCTATGGCTGTGCCATCTGTGGCTCAGGTATGACCCTCTTGTTAGCTGTTTTTCAGATAATTTCCCCTAATTCCATGTGGTGAGAAGGGCTTTTCGGTGATGGTGAAATTCACCCCCGTGCAAGTATCTGGCACCAGGGCCATGCTGCACATGAGGGATCTAAATGATGACAAGGCCTTGTATGGTTACTCTGGGAAGGGTAAATTTTGCCCCGTGTGAACCTCCACATAGCTAATAGAATTGGTGCAGTCATCTTTTTTTCTTATAAAAGCAATAAACTATTAGTATGTAAATAACATACAAGTAATGGAAGAAGTTCATGCAAATTACATATGTTTATGTTGCATCTTAATTAGGGAAAATTCCAGGTTCATTTTTATTTGTCCACTTAAAAATGTCCTGAGTGCCCACTGCATCTGGGCACTAGAGAGCTATAAATTAAACAGGCCTGTAAAAGCTACCCTCTTGGGGCAGCCAAATAAACCACCGTGCATGAGATCAATAGCGACACTCAACTGCCAAGCTAAAAATAGCTCAGCAGTGACTGTCTGTAGTCAGAAACGGGCTCGGCTGAATAAGTGCATCTTGCGTGAAGTCCTAACGGGTGTGAAACTCTGACCATGGCAAACAGCAGGAGGAAGGGAGCAAGTTTCATGAGAGAAAGACCTCCGTGCTTAGTGTCCCGCTGCTGGCTCTAGAAAGGTTGACCCTAGTCAATGGCACCAGAGTTCCCCAGCTGATTTCAACTGTTGTTTTGGGATGTTTTTCAGGTATCCACATCCCAAACTATTCAAGGCTTTAGGGATCTAAAAATAAAGCATGCAAATGCTTCACACCATGGTGATTTTGCACAGATTTTCCTGTGGGGTGTTTTCAAAGTAGAATTTTGAAGGATGGACCAGAATTTTTTAGTCTCTCATTTGCCTTTTTCTTTCCTCCCACTCTGTGTGTAGGGGGGAGGACCAGAGGACTTCAGCAATCTCCCACCTGAGCAAAGAAGAAAGAAACTCCAGCAAAAGGTTGATGAGCTAAACAAAGACATTCAGAAGGAGATGGATCAAAGGTAGGCCTAACGATACAATAAAGAATTCGAGAAAGGCTTTCATTTAGCAGAACAGTAGTCTCTGAAACATCACTAGTAAGCTGTTTCTTTCACAAGCAACAAATAAGAACAAGATAGTAAGTCATGCCCTGTGAATCACTATTTGATATGATGCTCTTGGAATAGAAGATGTAAAGGGCACTAGATGACTAAAAACAGCCAGGAGACGAGCTAAAATTCCCCTGTGGTCTAAGTTCTGAAGTTAATTGTCCTTCCCTGTAGGTCTAAATTAAACAAAAAGAGCAGAAGGAAGGGTTGCTTGTTATCTATCCCACCCACTTTTGCAGTGCATTCCACCACTGCTGTATCAGGATACTAAGGCAAAAGCACAAAAATCTCAGTGACTTGGGTAGGTGGTGCTACCGCAGACAGTTTTTCTTTCTTTCTGGCACAGTCTTTTTAAGTTGAGCAATCGTGTACTTCTGAGCCAGGCAGGAGGCGTAGATACTTTGTATTTGCCTCTGAATATGAATCTGCCCCAATATTTACAGTATTTTAATACAGGATCCATCTCTCTTCAGTTAGCCAACCACCTTGTCTTTCACGACTACTGAAATCACAGATCCCTCAGCACTGAGCAGGTGGCTTATTGTAAATATTATCAAGCCTGTGTACGGCAACCTTGGAAGCTTTCCATTTCTGGCATCTTGTTATTGCTCATGAGTTTAGGATTATAACAGAGATGGAAAACACTTCCTAGATTATCAAACACATTACATTCCCCTGTAATGCAAGATACAGTCCTCCAATAGAGGGAAAATCCAATATTAACCTAGTACTGTATAGTCACTTGAGACTTAGCCAAAAGCTTTTGTATTTTTTAGGCTTAGGAATCACATGCACTAGGGAGATTCCTAATAACACAACCTGTTATCTGCAGGGCTGTGTTGACAAAAGTGTGAGATTGTTCATCAGTGCCCATTTTAAAAGTCTCTGTGCTCTCCGGTGTCCATTTCCTGGAAGCAGAAGAGCTAATGATTCTTCACTTTTGCAGATTTGTTATTAGGAGACTTCATTTGTTATCCTACTTGAGAAGCAAGCACTTCAAGTGACTCCATTTATATTGATCAGTTCTGGCCGCTTGTATTTGCAGCTTCCTATGTTCATTCACATCTTGGGCTAGGATTGGCCCTTTAATTGTGCCTTTTAACCAGTGTCATTTTTGTTTTCACAAAAAAAGAGTTTAACTTTGATCTGATAACCCTGTTAAAAATCAGTCCACATCTTAGTTGTATAAGTTATGTGGGGATGTTAATTCCTATTTCATATCAGAAATGGGAAATAAGACAGGAGGCCTATAGGTAGCTGTTTACTTTTGTTTCATATGTTCCCTTTATATAATACGGTAGCTATAGTTTTTCTCCTTGAATAGATTTCCCTTTCCCCTTAATTTTCTTCAATTGATTTCAGTGTCACCTAATATTAAGATCATACATGAAATCAGTGCAGAGTGAGGACTACATTAGACAGAGATATAAGATTGGTGAGCAAGGTACAGCAACAGTCAGAGACACACAGAATGAATAAAAAAAAACATGAGTTAAAATTTGAAATAATGCCCCTTAAGGCTCCAGTCACAGAACAATCCCACTTCCTTGCCACCCACTCCTTTTCCCAGTTTCTCCATGCACAAAGCAAAAGCAGATACAGGGCTGCCATTGTCAAAGATTTTGTGGGAACCTCTCAAATAAAAAGAGTTATAACTTGGATCGTGGGACTTTGATTCAAGTAATCCCTGGAGCAATGCTGAAGAATCACACCAGTAATGAGAACTCAGCTCAAAAATCAACTCATTTCTGAATCCTAAAATGTTTCTTGTTCTGCAGAGAAAATCTCTTAAAATTCATCCTCAACCTGCCTCAGGTCAGGTGCAACACATTGCCATGAAAGTTGACTCTGCAGACATGCCTTCTAGTTGAGCACAGGACAGCTGTGTAGCGTGTTAATGTTGGCTTTGTGAGATCAGATTCCTGATATTGTGCTTCAAAAGCACCATCACTGAGATCCTAGGTATTTGGCACCTGAGTTGATATGAAATGTGTAGCCTTTAACACAATCTCAAAATGCGGCATAACTTAACTAGACATCATGACCTAAGGTCCATCTGTTGTACACTGTTACCAAGCCAAACGATCTGGATTTAGTTTTAGTCTGAACAGTGGAGCAATGTGAAATAAACTGATCAGCAGGGATCCTAGAAATCCATTTGCCCCTGAAAAACGCGAAAAAATGCAGAAGTTGTCTTTTTACAAAAAATCTTTAGTTTTTACATTTTGGGAAAAAATAAAAACATATACAGTAAAACCCACACTGCCATCAGCGTGCACGCAGGAATATGGGAAATTGATGCTTCAGCTCCGGGCAGTGGGACTCGGGCTGCCAGCCCTGGGTGGCAGGGTTGGGCTACAGATTTCATTTTAATTGTGGAAAAATGCAGATTTTTATGGGGTTTTTTTAATCAGAGAATTTTGGGGTTTTTATCATGGAAAACAAGGATTCCTGCTATCAGGAGCAAATTATGTTGCATATTCTTAAGGTGAACACAATGCAGTAGGCAGAGTGAGAGTTTCTGGTTAGCACTCCATTCTGGTACTGGAATGCCCACATCCCAGCCTTTACCTATTCTCTAGGATGGCATTCAGCCCAGGATGTGGAGAGATGATATAAGCACTTCCATATGTCCCTAAGACTGGGAAGATATTTATCTAGTGCGGGGTGGGCAAACTAATCTGGCCTTGAGCTCCTACTGGGCAGTGGGGTCTGGGACTTTCCCCACTCCAGCCAAGGAGCAGGGTTGGGGGCTTGCCCTTGCACTTTGCATGGTGCCCCTACCCCAAGTGCCACCCCCACAGCTCCTATTGGCTGCAGTTGCGGGCCAATGGGAGCTACGGGGGCGGCGCTTGGGGCAGGGGCAGCGTGCGGCACCCCCTGGCTGCCCCTCCGCATAGGAGCCAGAGGGGGGACATGCTGCTGCTTCCAGGAGCTGCTTGAGGTAAGCGCCGCCTGGAGCCTGCACCCCTCACCGCCTCCCGCACCCCAATCCCCAATTTTGCGAGCATTCATGGCCCGCCATACAATTTCCATACCCAGATGTAGCCCTCAGAACAAAAAGTTTGCCCACCCTAATCTAGCGAATTCAGAGGCCATTCTTTGCGGGGGAGAGCGGGGTGGAGAGCTATGGGTGTGAATGAAAGACAATTCCACACCTTGACTCTCCCTATATCCTAACCCAAGAATACAGTCACCTTTCCTTGGATTAGTTGGATGCCCAATTCCCATTCATTTTCATCTAAATCTAATCCTGCCTGTTTACACTGGCTCAGTACCTTTCTTGTGCCACTCTTGGAAATGATTTGCTTGTAGAGCTAATTCTGCCACTTTAGTTACACTGAAAAAACCCCATGGCTATTTGTGGAGTAAGGCTTAACATGACAAAGGGTATGTCTTCACTAACCGCCGGATTGGCGGGCAGCGATGGATCCAGCGGGGATCAATTTATCGCGTCTACCTTAGACGCGATAACTCGACCCCCGAGTGCTCTCCTTTCGACTCCTGTACTCCAGCGCCATGAGAGGTGCAGGCAGAGTCGACAGTGGAGCGGTAGCAGTCGACTCACCACGGTGAAGACACCACGGTAAGTCGATCTAAGTACGTCGACTTCAGCTACGTTATTCACGTAGCTGAAGTTGCGTAACTTAGATCGATCCCCCCCACTAGGGTAGACCAGGGCTAAGGGTGGAAGAATCCCGCTTATACACAGTGCAATGTCTCAAGTCTTACAAATTGTTGCTAAAGGCTACTCCCAGGTCTTGCAATGCCTGATAGTTTATAAACTCTCTTCCATGCAGACAACTTTGATACATTAAGGAGAGATCTTTAATTAGTAAATGGGTGGCACTAAACAAAACAAAAGCCCTGGCATAGTTTCTCCCCACACTTTGTTACACCTGTAGCCCGTTGTGCTTGAACCATAAACACAGAATGATTGCTCTGGAACTTTTTGGTTTCTCCAGAAGGATTTACACACCCAGCTGCTGCCTGACTTACTGGTGTTGCATTTTCCTTATTTCTCACAGAGATGCCTTAACAAAAATGAAAGATGTCTACATCAAGAACCCGCAGATGGGAGATGCAGCCAGTGTGGATCACAAATTAGCTGAACTGGGACAAAATATGGAAAAGTTGCGACTAGAGGCCCAGAAATTTGAGGTCTGGAAGGGGGTTAAGTACTAATGCACTGTCATGATGGTAGCTTTAAATAAATAGGCTCTGATTCAGGAAAACATTTAAGTGCATGCTTAACAGGGATGGATTTAAGTAAGTGCTTATAGTCAGGCAGTATTTAAATATGTTGTTGAAGTGGAGCCTTACAGCCACCTTTTAGCATAAATATGTCCTGGATCCTTCACCTGCAGTTGTCAGCCAACTCGATTTTTCTGTAATTTGTCACAGAAAATGGCTTATGTAGATCAGGGGAATGCAGGAGAATGCCCTGAAATGCTCTGGTACTCTTGCATTTGCAACAATATCAGGTTTTAAATGCCTCTCCGAAGACATAGATACCAGGTGAGAGCTCGGAAAAACTCCACTTTATTCTTTTCACACCCGAAGGTGCGTTTCACCAGTCTGATATCTGCTGATGGTAAAAACTCATGGGCACGAAAAGCTTCATCTCCAGCCAACCCCCACCCAGATCTCGTGGGAATCCAAAACAGGATTAAAAAAATCAATTGTGAAACACATTATTGTCTAAAGAAGCTGCTATGGTAAATGTGAAGAGGATCTATGGACAGAGCTATCTAAATGTCTGTGAGCTGGACAGAAACCATGAGATGAAGCACATTTTAAGGAACAATCTCTGCTGTCAACAGAAAGCATTTTAAAGATACAAAGACTCTGGAGTATGACTAATAGTTGGAATAAATGAACCCATTATAAACAGAAACTATTGTAATTACACCAGAAGTAAGGACAGGGAAGGACTACATTCCATGCGCTATAGATTATGTTGTGGATTTAAACGCACACAGCCAATTAATTCTGGATGCTTGTCACATCTGTTTGCCTTACTCTCCATTGCTTGTAAGGCCCCTTTGAAAGCCGACAGCTTTTCCTTTCCTTCCAACTATTGTCCTTTTCCATTTGGCCAATAAGGGATTTATTTTTGGTGCTTCTATGTTTCTGAAATTATCATGGGTTCCTTCTGTTTACCTCATTGTTCCTAGACCAGCAGCACTTCAGCCCAGCTCCAGTAAACTCCTGCTGCTAAGCCAGCAGGGGTGTGACTCATGCAGTGTTTTGAATCAGCCTATACATTTTTGCCAACATTACTATTTTTAAATATAGATTTAGAATGCAGAATCTACTCCCCTTCACCTCAGATGACAGCAGTTTGAAGCTAAATTTAAGTGTGTTTATAGTAGTTGACAGTTTGCCTGTAGTTTGGTGGTTCAAGTGATAGGTATATCTCCAAAGGGGCAAAGTAAGAGCAAACTCTGTCCCTTGGCTATCTGGTGCATTAAAGAGGCATATGAAACCCGTTGCTTTCTGTTTGCAGGGTTGGCTGGCTGAAGTTGAAGGCAGGCTACCTGTGCGGACTGAACAGACCAGACGGCAGAGTGGAATGTATGACACCCAGAACACTTCAGCCGTCAATAACTGTGCACAGGACCGGGAGAGGTACAGTATCTGTACAGAGCTGTCCAGACTAGCTTGCTAGTTACTATTCCACCTCCCTTGGTTTCATTAGCGGCAAATTCTTCTTTACAAGATGCTGCCGTTCTTCAACAATAGATGTGTAAATCTTGCATGCAACAAGCCTAATCCATGATGAGACTGCAAGCTGCCACTCTGAGAAAATAATTCCTTACTTTGATGCAGAAAATTCTAATTTGCCACAGCAAAAATTGGGGAAATGCAAAGAGAGTGAGTGTTTTCCAGGAATAATATTAACAGGTCTAAAGCCCCATCTGGTTCTGTCACTTGCAAACGTGCACACAGGGTAAAATTCATTCCTGTGCAGAGTTAGCACAAGACCTGTTGACCAGTCATGTCTCATTTCGGACATTAAGTGGGATGTAAGTGATGCGTAGGTGTCATGCTGGCCCTCTGAATAGATGTGAATTTCGCCCCTGCAAAGCAGATTGAAGACTGGGGTCACTTTCTGTACTGTTATGCCAGTGCAAATCCAGAGAACTCCCACTGCCTTCTGTGGGGTTCCTCTGGATTTATATGCAAGAAGACAAAGACATTGTGTGGGATGGGTACCAGCTGCAACACTCTGGATGGAATCCCATCTTTTCCTAGTAAAGACCCCTCCAAACCTCTTGGGAATGGAAAATTGGACTGCAAATCTTGTGTGAGCTGGCTGTCTCAGGAAACTTCTAATCCTGGCTGCACTGGAACTATTGCATGTCACTTGTTCAGTGCATATAATGTTTTCAGACATTACACACCACTATAGAGGTATCTCCTAATGGAAATAACCCTGAAAACTAGAAAGGGAAATATCCAGGTGCCCAAAAACTCTGGGAGTGCCCAAAATCCTAGGCCCATCTTCCAGTGTGCAAAGGATACTGAGCAATACACCCCCTTGCATTTCTGTTGGAACAGCCCTTCTGAACATGCAGCAAGCCCTTTTGCAGTAGCATAAAGAACTACTACATTGGCCATTGTGAAAGGTAGGTGAGAGATGCATTTGAGAGGCCTTGGCAGGAGGAGTTGACTGAACTGACTTCCCCTATGGTGCTGGAAATGCAGTGACTGACAAAGACACATTCTGACGATATATCTAAATTAACAAGTTGGCCCTAACTGCAACCACTCACTTGGCCTTCAGCTTTCCGCAGCTGAGTATTTCCGGCAGGTGCATGTTCCTTGTCACACTGCTCCTGAGGCTGGTTGCTATAGTTGCCGTATATTTTCCTTTCTTGAGCAGCCCAGATGGCAGTTACACAGAGGAGCAAAGTCAGGAGAGTGAAATGAAGGTGCCAGTGACAGAGTTTGATGACGAGTTTGATGACGAAGAACCACTTCCAACCATAGGAACCTGTAAAGCTCTCTATACATTTGAAGGTACCACTAACCCTCAGCTTCCATTTCACTTCTTCTCTATTACTTATTTATATTACAAGTAGCCTCCAGAGGCCCCCGTTGTGCTATGCACTGTTCACATATAGAGTAAGAGACAGTTCCTGTCATGAAGAGCAGAAATGGATGTAACATGGTGGCTTGTCCTGCCAGAGCTGGAGGGCCTGGAGAGGGATCAGGTGATTCCCCAATAAAGAGCCTCTGGAAGCTGCAGCAAGGTGGGATGCTCAGGGGGAGCAGAGAATGCTAGGAGTGAGCAGGCTCCAGCAGAGTCCTGGGATTTGGAGCTAAGACTCCAGCAATTTTGATGGTTGCAAAAGTTGATCCAAATTATTTCCCAAGCTCTTTGCAGACTACTGGATAGTTTGTTGGGGAGAGTGGTATTAAATGAGCTGTTCAGCGTACAAGGAATAGATTTTATGCAAGGATTATTTAATTTACAAGTACCATATTCAGCTGTAGACTAGGTGAACAGACCCTCCTATCATTGCCAGACACAAGGGCTAGTAAATTTACCCTGCGTGTGGTAAATAAACATACTGGCCTTTAGTAGCTGCATCTCAGCACAATAACAGCAAAGGCTAAATATTCAATACTAATTAAAAGATATTCAGTGGAGGCCCAATTTCATGGCGCACTTGTGTCTACTTGTTGATTGTACTGAAATTTTCTATTACAGGTCTGATGTCAGGGTCGCATTCTTTTGGTTCTTTGAATACATGCTGTTCTCTCCCAATTATTGCTGTCTTATTCATGCTGCTCATGCTTAAAGGAGGGTATATTTCAGTACCATTGCTGAGTTTGCCACAATCGGGTCTGTATGTTCTCCTGTGGACAGGAAATCCTAAACTACTGTATACTCTGTATCTCAGGTCAGAATGAAGGCACAATTTCAGTAACAGAAGGTGAAATGCTCTATGTAATAGAGGAAGACAAAGGCGATGGGTGGACGCGAATCCGGAGGAATGAAGATGAGGAAGGTTATGTCCCAACATCCTATGTCGAAGTCTATTTGGACAAAAATGCCAAAGGTGCTATGACTTACATTTAATATCCTTTTTATTACTTTGCTTGCTTTCACAGGGACATCCCACCCTGAAACTGTTCTATGATGCAGATGGAGCCTTTTAAAGGACTACATAATGCCACAAAGTGCATTATTTCATACTCTTAACTAACAGACTCCTATGACTTTATACACTGTGATTTAGATTGGTCCGATAAGAAGATACTGAGTGGGATAAAACTGTTACAATAGGGGGATACCCAGCCTTCTCTGGCTGAGCCAGCCTTCCGTGGATAGAGCTCAGTTCCTGCCAATATACCACCCAGTTCAAGGTGGGGAATATAAGGCCATTCTGAGTAACTGTGTGTCTTCTCTAGCTATCCAGCTGATACTTCATAGTGACATTTCAGCCATAGTCAGGAGTATGCTATTTGTTGCAAACTGACTCTGTGAAATGTTATACGTGAAATGTTATACATGAAATAATTAGGGTGCTGTTTGTCTTTCAATGTGGCAGCTTTTCAGAGCCTAATCTACTCTCTGTGGGCCATGTAAATGGAGGCAAGGATCATCATTTAGTTTGTTAGTATTTATGGGAAGGAGAAGCGTGTCTATCAAAAATGTAACCACAAAATACCCTACCATCCTTGGTAGATCAAGAGAATGGTGGTGTTCACTCGAATTCCCCTCTCCATCGTTGCAGTTCAGAAAATTCTCTTTCAGGCATATGTTGTTACTACCGATGCACGGCACAGTTAGCTATTTCATCCTCTGCTCCACGTACAATCAATGGAATATTTCAGAGCCTGGATTCATGCCTTTTATTGTTCTGTTTCCCTTGTCGCTATTTACCCCTCATGACTGAGGGTCTGTGTTGTGTAAGTGAAAAGCATGTGCATGTAATCAGGGTATGTGTCTGCTGCTCCTTGCAAGTATCTCCCTGCTGATCGAGTCCAGTGAGCAAACAAAGAGGTTCCATCGCTGCGGGAGTGACATCCTGTTTCAAGTCAGGAAGATTTTGAAGTTCACTGTTAAATAGTGCATGGATTTTTCAGTCATTTAATCCTGCAAGTTGTCATCTTCTTTCATAGAGTCTAAGCATTCTCTGTGCACCAAGTCTTTTTGTCCCTTTTAAAAGGGAGATGTAACTGTCATGCTGGACTTCAGGCAATAGAAATAGAGACGCTTCCTGCACAAAATCACACAACTTTATTAATTCACTTTTCTTTGGTTCAGTATTAAGCAATGTAGTACCATGCATGTCCTTTTGAAATGACAGCCTGGATTATTGTTTGATCTTGCCATAATCCAGAGGTCTTCTGTTTGCACTGGCAAAGATAGGATCAGTTGGATCCCTTTCTTCGCCAAGATAGTCTGTGCGGAAAACTCAGCATCCTGGATGTTCTCATTACCCTTGTAAAGTGGTATACAACTGAATGAAAGTACTGCCTATTCCATATACAGGGAAGGGCAGAAAGCTCAGCATCAGATATTCCATCATTACCCTTGTGCTGTCTGGTATGGAGACTACCTGCAAGCAGTGCCTGCTCCATGCACAGTGGTCGTTGCAAGTCCAGGCTTAATTTTTGCAAAATTCCCTGTTGTCCAACAGGGCCAACAGAAACTGATAGGTTACTACATTTAAAAAACCCACCTTGAAATAACAATTGTTCACCCCTCCCCTTGAATACTCTGGCATGCGTAGACATCAGCAGAGCAGTTTGTGAAGTCAGCTGCTCAGGAGCAGAGCAGCAGGCTTGGTGGGATATGCCTCAGAGCATAACTATGTGTCTAAGGGCAGGGTGAAACACCTATATTGACTGAAACCAGCAAAAGCAAGAACCTTGTTAATAAAGGCTGCCACTTTGTCTTTAGCTCACCCCAATGTATGAGGCTATTGAAGGGATCCCCCGGTCCTACGACACAGTTGGCACCTAGCAAAGGATCTAGTACACTGGTGGCATTGTGCAAATAGTAATAATAACCCTGTATCATCTTGCATATCATATGTGCAGTGTGCTACACAGGAATTAGCCTGTGGCCATTTGTTTGACTCAAATTTTTTAACTTTCCTTGTTTTTTTTTTCTAATGATCTTTGAGTGTTTTCTGTAAAGAAAATAGACATGCAGTTTCAATAAATAAACAGTACAAAGTGATGTGCAGATAAACAAGCTGTAATATGCAGTAAAAGTACAATTTAAGGCCCATATCCTCAGAGACATTTAAGCTTCTAACATCCAGTGGTTTCAATGGAAGTCAGGAGCCTAAACACCTTGGAGGATCTGGGCCTAATTCATTTCCTTGATTTGGTTAAAATCTATAAAAAGAACCTCCCTTAAAAATGGTTGTTAAGATATCAAACTTAAGTGTTTCAAGGAACTTTCAGTAGGTTTAAAAAACAAAGCAGGCCCACTAGACTTGGGGTACTATCTCATTTGGATCTGATACTATATCAGTGGAAGCATTTGCATTTGTCCATTGAAGAAGAATTAAAATGAAAAATACAACTGACCCATAAACTAAAGTCCTTACAAGTTTTTGCAGCATTTTTCTTCTTGTGCATAAGGCGAATGGGTAGCAAATACCTCTAAATGTTAGTTAAACAAAGTGAAATTAGGCTGATTTCACACCAAATGAGTAAATTTTGTTACACCTACAGCTAACAGACTGGGAACCTGAAAAAGGCCCAATTCTGTGACCCTTACACAAATAGCCCCATTGAACTCAATGGGACTGCTTGTGTGAGTAAGGGCTATTTACTAAGTTTAAAATGGTAGCCAGCAAAAGAAAGTTGAGCAAACCCTATGTCAAAAGGAACAGTAATATTTATCTTGTTTGCTTTTTCCAGATGTGTACACATCACTTCAGAAAATCCCTGAGTAGGTTTGCATAGGCCTGTTCTCCTTTTGTTCTGCTGATTTGATTCTTCAATTATTTTAAGAGGTGCATTTCAGAAGGTTTTCTTTAAAAGAGATGAATCCACGTGCCCTGTCAATGAATGACCATTTGTTAGGTGCAGTTCATTCAGCCCTTGAAACTAAAGGCTCATCGTTTCCAGTGAGGGTTTTGGCTCAGGTCTGTGGAATAGTTGTAGACAATATTCCCATCCCTCTGTAATATAATTTAAAAGAATGATACACAGTAATCCATTTTCCTTGTGGTGCACACATGCAGCTTCCGTTAATGCTAGATACTTACATGTGCAAACTAGGAATTGAATATATTGGCTATAAACCCCCATGTTTCAGGGATTCTTATTGGGGGGTCAGGAATAAAATTCCTCTTTTGGAAGGTTATCCTGTAACTGTCTGCTGCAGGGTTTCTTGCACCTTCTTCTGAAGTATCTGGAGCTATTGGATACTAGACTAGTAGGACCTCTGGTCTGATCCAGTCTGGCAATTCCTGCATTTTTAGAAATTGTACCTCCTAGTCCACTTAGGAGCAAAACTGTCTTTCTTTGAGTAATGCTGTGAGATAAAGATTGATAATCAAAAGAAGTTACATAAAATTACCCTCTTAATATTAGAGTAATTTCCCGCTGCTCCCAACAAACATACCCTGTTCACTTCCTCTAGAAATATTGGCTGTTAGAATGACACACAATGAACAGAGCCTGTTTCAGAGGTTTTATTTCTTGAAACAAATGCTGGGGCCACAGTCTGATCAGTATTTCAGTCGCGTTGCTACTGTTGGTTCCATTCTCCCCACTGTATGTATATAAATCGATCGACAGCTCTAAGAGTCTGGCTTGGTTGCAGCTCTGCTGTTTGTTCACCACAACTGTAACCCAGGTGCTTGATTTTTTTTTTTTTTTTTTTTAACCATGCCGAGGCACTTTTTATCTAGGCTATACAATATGATTTCTTAACGCTTGCCAAAATATTTAGGAGACAGTAATTATGAACCAGATTATAACATCTTTTTTAGTTTAATTCCTTTTGTTAAATATATGTCCATAATGCTCCCCATAAAAAGAATAATTTGTATATAATGTAACTTAATAACTAAAGGTACTTGAATTTTGATTTATATATATATATATATATATATATATTAAAAGCGGTTTTATTTGCTGTTCTATTGTTTAACCCAATTTTTGTTTTGATAACCATTGAATAAGACAAAATCTTGTTAAGTCGATAACTTTTTTGTGTGTTTCCTGCTGCCTGCTTCTGATGGGACTTTTATAGAAACTTCTGTTCTGTGTTAAAGTTTGTTACATCTGGTCAATATGATTGTTCCTTTTCTATTCTTATTCTTTAAAGAAAACTCATCTACTGGGTGAGGGTCTCTCCCCGTAGCTAGCTGTACTATCATCTCTTCCTCAAATAAACATATTTTCTCATTCTTGTGGGGTTTTCTAATGATTATTCACATAAGCAGATTACCTGCTCTGATGCAAAACAAATGGTCCGAACCCTCCCTTTGTCTACTGCTGACTCAGAAAAGCACTTCATTAACAGTAAGGATGTGATTACATTTTAAGAAAGAGCTCACACTGCAGTGTGGTTAATATGTTACCTTTCTCTTCTTCTTTTTCCTTTTCTTTATGAAAATTAGAGACAGGCTTGAACCATAATTTCAAATTCAAATGTGCTCCCATATATGGGGGAATTCATCCTTTGTCCTTCCGTCTAATGGGCCAAACCAAAAACCCTGGAACAGAACACCCTTGAACTTCGGGGACAATTTGGGCCTGGGCCAGAAGTATGTGCTTACAAGAATGTAACTTCCCATATGTTTATGAGCTAGGAATGTTTGCATCCCTCCTGTTTCTTTCTTGACTTCCCATCAAGATGAAGGGTCTTGATTGCTTATTGCTTGATGAACAATCAGCTTTCTTTGGATGAGAGTATTCTAATCACTGCAAAATGCCTTACCCAGATATAAAAATATTTACCCTGATAGCCTTCCCCAGTAGTTCATTGTCACTGGGAGCTGTAGTCTGACCAAATCCACCCACTGGTTCCCTGCAGATACAAGAAGCTAATTGTTTCATCTGGTGTAAACAATTCAGATTCCCACTGGTGGGGAACCATTCTTGAATTTTGCACCCTGCATGGTCACCAGAGGAGAGCTGTGCTCAAGGTGAAGCTCTTGCCTGAGGGTGGGGATCACCGGGGGCCAAGTTACTTTCATTTTCAAGGAGAAAATACACTTCATGGTGGCTGACCCTGAACAAGGAGGGTTGCTTCTGGCCAAAGGGAATCCCTGACTTAGAACTGCTCTTAACCCTTTCATGATGCAGTCTGATAAATGCTCGTGGTGCTGTCTTTCCCCTTTAACCTCCCCCAAGCAGTGCCACACTCAGGCGAGCCCTTCCTCCTGCCTCTTTCTAACCCAAGTCTCTTTCTTTTTGTCTCTTATGTTTTAGATTCCTAAAGGTGTTTGTGCTGGTGCAAGAACCTGGGGCGAGCTTGTCACAGAAGGAGAAACAAATGGTCTGTTTACCCTGCAGACAGTTAAAATTCACCCATATAAACAGACTCCTGGTCTGGTCTGGAGGTAGCACTTGAAAAAACTGAAATCTAAATTCCATCCCAACATTACTCAGCCGCTTGCTCTTTTTTATGGCATGTTACTTGTGGCTCAGACTAACTTATTGACATTCCCCATTGTTCTGCCAACTGGGCATTGCTCTTCCGTAGAGCATAAACAACAAACCCCACCCACCCCACCACCACCTTCCCCACAACCAGACAGAAATGGCTGGCTGCACTTGGATGCAAAGGGTAACCAGAGAATCCCATGCATGTGCCAGTTGGGATTCTATCCTCCTGTGGCCCTCAGTCCATCTGACTGTATGCACTGGTCCATCAGCATTTCACATGGTGCCTTTAGCGCTAATCCTGCAGGTAGGCTCATCAGACAGCTAGGGAAAGAGGTACATACAAGTGGAAAGCCAGTTACAGGAACAATATGACAGCAGCTGGACTGACCCCTGAATTTGATTGTTAAATTTTACACACCCATTATTCAATATTACACCTTCCCCGAAAGGTCCCAAATGTCAATCAGCTTTTTTACTTTTTAAAAATGGCTGGTGCTTCCTCAAAGAGTTCAATCCCCATTGGCTTTGCTGTGTCCTGCCAGCCTAGCAACTCGTGAATGTATGCTTGCTTTCCGGCTCACTTTCACACACAAACACACACAAAGGCATTTTGGTTTGAAGCCACCTTTCCCCCATCACCAAGACCTCCATTTGAATCTTGTTTCAGCCTGCATGCTCGCCCTGTCGCCTTGCCTGCGCATACCTTCCTAAGGGTCACATCACTTTGCAGCTCATTGTTCTTAATCTCTTTCCAGTTTTTTAGCATTTCAGACCTGCCTTCTCCTTTTGCATGAGCTCCTGTGCACTCTCATCAGTGTGTTTGAACAGCAGAAATTGCATTTAAAAAAAAACAACAACCCTGCATTTCCCTCCCCTCCTCCCTCTTGCCACAGACTGGACCTTTGCTCAGGCATTTCAGACAGGAATTTGGACTTATCCATCTTCAAGTATCAACCATCCTGTTGTCCTGTGATCTTATTTAAAGGAGAAACATTTTGATGGCGGTGCTGTACCTTGTCCCCAATCTAGTGCAGAGGAAGTTATGCTGCTTCCAAATATCAAGTGATCTGGAGCTAAACTCCCTAGAGAGGGGTTAGATTGCTTTCTAAGCTCCTAAAACTATGAAATTCTCGCGCTTCTCCTCCCAAAATCTTCACATTACTAGGCTAGTGCAGTAATTATATACCTCCTCAAACCTTGTCTAACAGCAGCCAGTGAGTAATAAGAACAGCTTTCCAAGGCCTGTCTGAGTAGTTGGGGAAAATCCCCAGCTCTTTAGAAATATCCTGGATTTTTTGTAAAAGGCCCAGAATAAGAGAGAATTCAAATGGATGCCATCATGGCTAGTGGCTCTAAAATGAGCCTGTCAGTTTTGGTTTGCAGGCAGGCCTGTGCGTGTTGTAATGCTGTCCCCTGTCCTTGTGGGCAGGGACAATATTAAAATATAGCATCCAGGAATTGTTCACCCTTTATGTAGGGTATCACCTAGCTCTTCCCATCTTAGGATGAGGTCGTTGTCTTTAAGGTAGTTAAATGTTGTGTTCACAACTTGGTCCCTCTTAAAATAATAATAAAAAAAACTTATATTTTTAATAGCAGAGAGTCCTTCACTTCTACAGTTGTTAATGCTTCATCATGCTTAATAACTATAAGCCTCAGCAAGCAAGAAGACACTTTTTTTTGGAATCAAGTTAACATAAATCAGGAGGCTGCATTGTCTAAGCAGATGGTACAAACTCAGAAACCTCTGAAGCCCTTCAGCTGCAATCTGTTATCACAGTCTGAAGGGTCAAAATCAGCTAAACTGCCATCCATACCACCGCTGTTACTGCCTTTGCTTAGCTCTTTAGATCCGCAAGCCTTCGATACCAGAATAAAATCCACCACGTACACAGTTTGCTCTTATAACTTCATATGCAGAACTGTGACGTACGTGTGTGAGGATTCTGTTGCATTTTCAAGATCAGCATATCTCCTATCGGGATCTAAATGGTTAAGCAGCCAACAGGCGTGCAAATATCTACAAATATTTTTAGCTGCAGTATTTATTCCTGTGTGTCTGATGCACTGTTGAATCAGCAGCTAGATCAGCTGACTTTCACCCTTTTTTGTGCCATCTATGTAAAAATGAGAGAGTTTTCTTTTATATATTTAATCTAGGTGGACAGTATATTATTGTCGGCCTCTGTGGAACATTTGAACTATTCCAGTGTTAGTGTTGCTACATAGTGCTTTAGAAGGAGCGTTAGCTTTGCCCATGCCAACTGATTTTCTTTGAAAGGGATATATTAGAAGACTATCTGTGGAGTTTTTATAAACCTGCTGCCCCATTTCAGAAAGCCTGGACCTTAAACCTGCTAAACCCAGGGTTGTGAGTTCAATCCTTGTAGGGGGCCATTTAGGGATCTGGGGCAAAAATTGGGGATTGGTCCTGCTTTGAGCAGGGGGTTGGACTAGATGACCTCCTGAGGTCCCTTCCAACCCTGAGATTCTATGATCTGATGAGAAGGAAACAATTACCACCAGTCAGGTACTATAGTTTAGATCTTTCTTCTGCTGTGTGTATTCAGCATTAGAAGTAGGTCAGGGATAGAGTTTAACTTTGAAAACAAACAACTGAGACAGACTAAACCTATGACTTATGCAGTGTTGTTGTAGCTGTGTTGGTCCCAGGATATTAGACAGAGGTGGGTGAACAAAAGCTCCATGTAAGCTTGAAAGCTTGTCTGTCCAATAAAAGCTATTACCTCACCCACCTTGTCTTGCTCAACATATGACTGGTTTATAAAAATTTTGCTTGAATTTACTAAGCTCACACAGAAAAAGTGTGATTGAACACGCTATGAAATGGAATCTCACCGTCGTCCCCAGCAAAAGTGTTTCTAATGCCCTTTCTTAATATCCGTAAATACAGAAGAAAAGAAACATATCCATTGATACTGAAAGTTGTGTTTAATGCTGAGTATTTTTCAAAAGTTCTTTTTGGTTTGATGCATATTGATTCTTTTTTTTTCCTGCTTGAAGTGTCAAAAGACTTAAAAGAAGCCAAATTATATTTTAACATGATGCTGAGCACTTTTTTAATTTGTGTGTGTGTGTGTGTGTGTGCGCGTATGTGTTTGCGCACTGAATTCTAGCTCTTGGTGGCATCTCAGTGTTGTGATTTCCTTACCAATGTAAAAGGTTCTGGTGTTGCCCATTCATTTCTGGAGACAGAATTCAAGCAAATAAAGTGCTTCCATTGGAAAGCGAATATTGACCTTGTAACCATGAATGAAAACTCATCTACATATTTAAATAAACCTTTAATTCCAGACATGCTATTTCATGTAACCCTCTTAATCATGTAGGGGATGCAAGCAAAGCTGTCCTAATTGTTTCACAAAAAACGGTCCATACCCACCTGGCCACTCACTGCTGCTATAATTGGCCGGGCTATTCTATCTGTAGTGACACATCTGCCATTACCACATACACCTGCAGATGGGAACTCCACTTTGTGTTACTTCGCAGTGTAACCAAATATAAATCACAAGCTTGGAACTCTGCCTATTTCTTCTTCCTCCGCATTCTCAGTGAATTGCTGGATGCTTTCTAATTTTTATATTCAACGGCAACATGTCTTGGCAAATGAGGAGAAACAAATCTGTTTGAGTGTGATGTTTGTGTCTATTTGCTGTAATCCGTGGGATGGTGAAGGAACACTTTTACTCATGGTACTTGAATTTTTACATCACACGGGGGGGTTTAGGCACCATTTGGCATTTAATTGTGCTGACAGCAGGAAGAACATTGCCTA